AAAGGTAAGAAATGTGAGCTGCATATCTGTATATATGATGCATTTGTATGCCCAGGTGAATGTACACTCTGGGACTCCTGGAAATATCCTGGCTATTGAGAAATGCTGCACTAATGAAAATAAAACTGATTATATAGACTACCCACAGAAACAAATGATACACCTGTCAAAGAAAATGAGAAAAGGCAGGAGTCCAAGTGGATTAATACTAGTCTTTGAGGTTAGTGTCTTACAGTAATCCATCACATTAATTCCCTCAAAAGAAGAAAAGCAATATAGACTAAAGCGAGCTCATTGATTTTGGTAATATGTTCAATCAGGCAAAATGGGAAACTCCAAGACAGAAATCAAAATGATCTCGCCTATGTTTTTCATTTTGTTTTGGTAGTGACAGTATTGGATAAACAGCTTCACATACAATTATGATCCCAGATCCCAAAGGCTCTTTGGTTTCTGCTCCTTTTTCTTTGCAGCTGGTCAAATGGGGGTTGGACAAATTACAGCATCCTTATGATTTATGGCAACAATAATGCTGACGACACACCAACACAGTAAGCAAGAGCATGATTACAAGTCCCCTCTTTCATGAGCAACAAAGTTAATAAGTGCCAGTGACCAAATGCCACAGTTAATGAAGGAGCAAGTTATTTTTGGACGCTATGAAACTGAGCATAACCACTTGTGTGTGACTTCCTACACACTTTTTCAGATACACTATAAGACAGAAGGACAAACAAAACTAAGAAATTTACCTTGCTGGAATAAGGTCCAGGGATGAGTAGTTTTAGTGCCTGTCGTTTCAGCTCTGTCAGCCTTGCATTGCAGTTCTCACACCATATCCCTCTTTCACTTCCAGGGGAACTTCCACTGCCTGAGGCCGGCGATCCTGTCCCAAAACCTGGTGAGCCACCTAGCGAACCGGGTGATCCTGTCCCAATGCCTGGGGAGATGGTCCCAGGTGACCCAGAGAAGGATCCTGGTGAGGAGATTCCTGAGCCTGGGGATGGTGTTCCCGTGGAGCTGGGCATGGAGCCAGCACCCTCCGGGGCGGGGCGTGTGCCGGAGCGGGTGGTCTCATCATAGGCCTTTCGGTACCATGTGTCCGGGAAGAAGGAGGAAGATTTGGTTGGCGATGTGTCAGGGACCTAAGAAAAAATTTTCAGAAGAGAAAAAATTAATGATGGTGTATTTCCAAGATGCAAATTTTTACAGTCACTGCAGGAAAGTCAAAATATGTATATAATATAATCATTGTGTTTATGTGCATTACACCAACAGCACATTCCAGTATATCAATCTGCACCTGCCTTTGTGTACTAATATAGAGATATGTTTCTGAAATAAAGTTAAAGTAAGTAAACATTTCTTTAATTAAAAATTCAACAACTAATTGTTCTGCTTTAACAAAAAAAATGAATACCCAAATCACAGATCCAGCATCCATTGTTATTCCACAATCAACACTAAAAATGTTGATTTCTCTAAAAAAAAAAAAAAGGCTAAGCAGACACAGAGTGTCCTGTGAATAACCCACACAGGAAATGTGTGATCAGGGATCAAGATTAGACGGAGTCTTACCTAACATTAGGACATTAAATTAGACAGACATTCAGTTAAAAACCTACAAACAGAGAATGACATTAAACATTTCCTGCAATGGAACGACAAGTCATCCTACTGAGTGCTTCCATAAACCACTAAATAGGATTAAGCCAGGATAGACCTGTTATTTTGTTCTACTCAACCACATGGGAACATCAAACAAGCAGCAAAGAGTGGAGAATTTGATCTTTTGCGGCTGGGTAAATCCAGTCAGAGAACAGACCCATTGATGTGGTGGAGGCTGTAAAGGTTGGGCACTCCTGTGATCTTTCTCTCGAGGGCTATAATAAGGCAGCAAAGAGTTGAGGCTGATAAATGGGAACGCTCAATCATCTCCAAATGAAGAGGTGGTTATATTGTGCCAAACGGCGTGTTATAAATTATTGTTAATTAGTCTTTGTAGATGATAGGCAGTGACACAGGTGTGACTATAATAGTCTTCACTGATTTAGCACTTTGGTGCTCAGCAAGTGCTACTTCTGGGGATCATTCAGTGAAAATGCATGCCAGCGTTGTGACACCATAACACCATAAGCACTGATATTTGAAGTGTGATCTTCACAAAGCAATCAGCAGCAGGAACACAAATCTTACAAGAACCTTCAAGTTTCATGTTTATGTCACCCTGAAAACGAAGCAAACGGCAGTCTCCTATAAAAATGGGTGGAGTGTGAGATGAAGTGCATGCAGCAGTGAACGGATGATAAGTTTTAATGTTTACCAGGCTGATTGGGAACAGAGGTGTGTCCACCCCTCGGCTGCTGGAATGAATAACCTACCCCATATTTTCTGCTCCGGCTGCTCACAGACCTCTCCTTAGTCCCCGACAGTGAAGTCATGTTGGAGGTGAGAGGAATGGGGAGGAGGAGAGGAGAGGAGAGGAGAAAGAACCTCTGCTACAGCTTCACATCCAAAAATAAAAAAATAAAAAATAAAGACCACCGGATCAATTTCAATTAACCACACGCCCCAGCAGTTTGCTCTTCTCGGGCTGGTGGTAACCTCACGCCACTTCCAGATGCATGATGAACCCAGTTACATCCCCATGCTGCGTCTAAGAGACACACAATAAAAAATCACAGATGGTTTCGGTCTCTTCTTAACAAACCGCACGGTTTGTTGCGTCTAAAATAGCCCTCGAATTACTCCTAAAAGCACACAAGAATCACACAGGTCGGTGAAAAAGACCGCTCCCCTTCAGCAGAGTCTATGAGCTGAATGAAGCTCTCTGTTCAACAGCGCTCTAGAGTGGCACCGCACTCAGCCCAGCCTCTCTCCATCAGCTCTGCGTCTCAGGCTGGCCAGGTAAAGCAAACACCCCCACCCCCCTCATGGGGTAGCTGAAATTCCGACGCACGGCGCAGGTCTCCTTCTCTAACGTCTCATTAGACCGTGTGAGATTCGGCTGGTTCAGACCACTGCTACAGAAGTCATCTCCTCGTTGTTTGTACTTTGAGTGTATCTGCGCCCTCCTCTTGACTTCCTGCGGCTCCGCCGAAGCCAGCAGTTGACTGAAGAGACAGGAGCAAGAACGCACATCTGGATGAAGGCGGGGCCAATTTATCCCTCATCTGCCTCAGGCCAATGCACGTCCAAAGGTGCCAGTTGAGGGACAGGTGGATTTCTGCCTGATTAAAGTGGAAAGTAGTGGAGTTTAAGAATATAACTTTAAGGTGTTTAAAAAAAATTGTAAACTTTCAAGTCATTTTGACCAAAGCTATAAAAACTTTGTATTTATGCGAGATTCATTTTTGGACAGTATGGACTGAGAAAAAATATACTTACATATAAATAACAATTAAACCGATTTTCTATGAGGAAAATCCAACGAATGGAGGCGTTTCAAAGACTTTACTTATTTATTTGTATTTTATTTTTTTTTAGTTTGGTGTCTTGGAAGTACTTGGATTTTAATTCCTGATTACAGCCCTGAAAACCTCTCAATCAAGCAGGCAGTGGTATCAGATAGAATAAAATGGATGAAGAAAATCATCAAATTACAACGAGACCAAAAAATGTTAAATAACTGTGTACTCAGTGTCAAAGACATCTCAGCCCTGTTGCTGTAAGCTTAACCACCGGCCTTTGACCTCTGTCAGTCAAACAGAAACAAAAACAAATAAAAAAGTGTCAACTGTGACTTTTCAGCAGGTAAAGCTGTAGGGTGGTGAGCCCCTAATTGAAGAAAATATCTGTAGAAAGCAAAACTATGACTGTAGCATTAAGATCCAAGCAGGAGCAGCAGCAATACTTCTACGTGATGGAAAGTTTTAGGAAACCCATGTGAACACAGGATGAGTGGTCACACAGTGCCCTCTGTTGTTCCCAGGAGGGCATTGCGGTTGAAACCAGACACCAACAGGTAAGTGAAAGTAGACTGTTGAACAGACCTGTTTCCCATCCTTTCCCACTCTTTTTCCTTTTTAATGACTGCGTAATCAGAGAAGATTTTGCTTTTTTTCTTTCTTGCTTAGTCTTTCACACTTTTTTACCAGAAGAGATTTTGCTGCACTAAAGGTGAGTGTCGATTTTAGAGAAAGAAGTGGTATTGTGAGTGCTCTGCAGTTGGGTAGTGTCGCTTTGACTTACACTTTTAACACAGAAATTTCAAAAATAAACAAACAAACAAAAAACCTACATGCATGCTGTTTTTAATTTTTCAAATGGTTAGCACTATCGTCTAACAGGACAAAAGTCCTGGGCTCAAATCCGGGGTTGTGTAGCCTTGCTTTGTATAGTCTGCGTGTTCTCCCTGCCCATAATTGTGAAAGTGGACTTGTGTGGTTGTCTCTAGGTTTTCGCTCTGTGAGAATTTGGACAAGCAGGTTGTACTCTGCTACCCCTATGATAAACTAGATAAGCTTCAACGCTGAATTAGAGCACAGCAGTAAATAATAAATAAATAAATAAAATAAAACGAAATAAATACAAATAAAAAAGATTACACGAATAGCAAAACAAGCTTTTTTATGTGTTTCTGTAAAACTCTGTGGATCTGGAAGCAAGTTACAGTAAAAAAAAAAAAACAAAGTCACATGACTGTCTTTTTTTCTATGTGTGTATATATATATAACTTATTGAATTTGGTAGCTTTTTGTGAGATTGGAAGACAATATCGCTTTAGAGTTAATACAGCAAAAAATGGGGGCAGTTTCAAAAAATTCAAAATTAAACCGGGTATGTTTGGGTGGCATTTTTTTCATATTACATTTTTATTTGAATTGTCTAATTCTTGCCTCCTACCCATGCATAAGCCTATTAAAATCTCTTCTAAACAGTATATAGCTGCAAGTTGTGCACACATCCTGTGCTCAACCACAACACTAAATCCGTGAACAGCCAAGCGTGTCCTTCTCGCTTTTTCAGACATAAAATCACGCCCTCCGGTCCAGATGGTGGCGGCAAATCTTTTAGTGTGGTATACAGTCCACGAGAAATAACAAACATTTGTTAACAGGAATTGTCTGCACGACGCATTGCTTTCACTATTGACTGCAGGTTTTTCTTTCGAGGTTAGGAACTCCTTTTTTTCGTGCAACTTTTGGTAACGGTGAATGTTTACATGCAACAACTATGTCAAGGGTTTTAACTGGAGCTAAAAGCTAGCGAGTGGCACAAAAATACCGAGTTTAGGGTTCCTAAGGTAAGTGGCTAGTTGTAGCTCTTGTCATTACTTCGCTTGACTCGGGCAGAGGTGGTCAGTCAGTCGCTATTTTTTATGGGTCTACGTCGTAGTTTGGCGGCAGTTAATTTGTTGCATTGCTTGTTTTAGTTGATCCGTACGTCAACGTTATTGCATTATATAAAGGGCGGAATAGTGACATGGCTTTAGTGTGACAAGTGGCGCATAACTACAATACGGAACTGTGTAAACCCCCGTGAACAACTTTGTGATTTGTTAGAAACTAGGTTTTTATGCCTGTTTACTAGCGAGCGAGTCTTGTTAGCAAGCGAGCGCTCTTATCTGGTTGACCTGCAGCACATCTTGGGCGTTGCGCTGTTACTGCACCGTTAAACTTTGTTTTTCAAATGTTTGTTGTGCCGTTTGCACATGTATGGTTTTCTTAAAACCCAAATTCATAAATGGTAGAGTTTCCCGTTAAAAAGGTACTTAGACGCCCAGTTCCAGGACACTGTTGTCTCCGTGACAACAGCTTTTCCGCATATTTGTGAATTCACTACGCATGTCAAGAATAACCTGCGAATATCGCGTTTAGTGCCAAACTCATCCAAGGCGAAAGTACGGCCTACTAAGTATGCCGATTGAGCAACATCGCCTTACTTTACTTTTTTTCTTATAAATCAGGCATAAAGCTACTGCCTACCGGTTTATCCACCCTGGCGCCTACTACGGACCTTCAAGTCCCCCAAATAAAGAAAATAAGCCCCGATTAATGTCAGATCGCTGGTATTCCGGTGTCCCAATGAACTCCAGGGAAAGCTTTCCACAAGGAGGAATACACCAAATATTACAGCAATGAAAGGTAATCAAAACTTTTATGAACGAGAACTCTGAGTTACATTTTAGAAAGTCGTTGAGACAGCCAGATGTTTTTATATGAACACACAAATTTACTCAAAATGACAGTAGAAAAATGACCACGTGATTTTTATTTATTTATTTTTTCCTCTTTCCCCCCCCCCAGGTGCACCTGGAAAAACAAGGAAAAAGGAACCTAAAAAGAAGTCGCCAGAGAAAGACCCCTCAGATGCGGTTTTGTCTCCCAGCACAGATGATTCAAGTGCTGTGCCAGGCAGCGGCAACTGCAGCGACTGCGGCCTTGTCTTTTCAATAGAGGCTAGTACTCCAAAAAATGAAAGGGAGAAAATGAGGTTTGCACAAGAAGCCTGCTTGACCTCCACACCAGTCTACAGCACCACCTATGATGTCCCGTCAACCATTTCAGGCTCCCCTCCTGAAGGGGAGCTACAATACACTGAGTTCATCACTCAGATAAAGGTATGGTGTAAAAGTGAAATTTATATATTTTTATAATCCCACATAGCTTCAGTGAATTCAGTTTCCTTTTGTTATGTTCTGTTTTATGTCCTAATTTCCTTCGGGATTAATAAAGTATACTGATTCTGATTTAGACAACAGCGGTAGATTCACAGTCAAAACCTCAACGTAAGCGTAAGAGACCGGTTAAACAAAGACAGACAAAGACGCAAACACAGACCGATGGTAAAACCGATGATCCTCCAGTCAAGTGCCGGCGTGGTAGGAAGCCAAAAAGAGAGACTGGGAATTTAAATAAAGAGAAATCATCCTCCCGCTCCAGGCCAAGATTTGAACTCCAGAAAGCTGAAGCAGAAAGTCAAGGTAGTGTATTATTCAGTACTGTTGTCCCCAAGCACAGCCAGTTCTGTGAAGCCACATTTTTTACATTTGTTTTTTATTTTGCACAGTCTGTCTTGCATGTCATGTGTTTTTAATTGGCATGGAGAGCTGCAGGTGTGCTCTAATTCTGTCTCTTCTTAACTCCACAATAGATGACTCCATGATGTCTTCGGATCTTTCAATAGAACTGAGTCATCATGAAGAACAGCTGTCTACTTTGTCCTACCAGAAGGATGACATAAGTGATGAGGAGGACGAGGAAGAGCTCCCAAGTTTCCTGATGCGGACAGACGAAAGTAAGCGAGACCACAAGGATAACTGGAGTCTGTGACGGTACAGGACACTTTGAGTTGATTTGTTTATTTTTGTTTTGACTTTCAGAGCCCCCATCAATTACCGAAGGAGCATTTGTGTGGCACAAATATAGAAACTATCCATATTGGCCTGCATTGGTGAGTACATAATGGTGACATGTGATAAAATCACAATTTAGCAGATTCTGGTTAATGTTTTCCTTTATTGAATCAATGCCTTAAATGCTTTTTTGATAAGTGCTGTCAGTCAGCCTACTATTGTATATCTTGAATTTACTAGATGATTAATCAAAAAAAGTGTTCACTGTTAAAATGACAATAATTGCCCATGAAAAATCATTGACTCACCTTTTTTTTTTTTTTTTTTTTGTTTGCTGTAGGTAAAAAGTGTGAACAGAAAGCACAAAAAAGCCAGTATCATCTTCATTGATGACTCAATCATTGAGAAAAAGAAAGGGTAGGATGTTTTCTCTTTTTGCTTTGTTGTTTCTTGCTTGTCTTTAGGTGATACATACACTCACCAGCCACTTTACAAAGTACACCTTGGTTGGACATGTAGGTCCACAATGTGGATCTCCCTTTACACCATACTCCAAAGGTCATTTGAGAACCGTGAACCCACTGTCATGTTCAAGAAAGTACTTTGAGATTATTTGAGCTTTGTGACATGGTGCTTTATCTTTCTGGAAGGGATAAAGGGATATACATGTGATGGACATGGTCAGTAACAATGCTCAAGTAGGCTGGGGCATTTAAACAATGCTAAAGTGGTACTAAGGGTCCTAAAATGTGGCATGAAAATATCAATCCTCACTATTGCATCACCACTAGCAGCCTGAGCCATTGAGACAAGGCAGGATAGATCCATGCTTTCATGTCGTTTATGCCAAATTCTGATTCTACTATCTGAATAATGGTCAACAGACCAGGCACCATTTTTTCCCATCTTCTATTTCTCCAGTTGGAAATGGACAATTTTTGGTGAGCCGTTGTGATTTGTAGCCTAGGTTTCCTGTTCTTAGCTGATAGTAGTGGCACCCACTGCTGCCTAGTAAATCCTAGCAATCATTGTGTGGGAAAGTCCAGTTTATAAAATATTCATGGCAGTCCAACTGGCAGCAACATCCATTTAAAGTCATTTAAATCACCTTTGTTCCCCATTCTAATGCTCAGTCTGAATTTCAGCAGGTTGTCTTGGTCATGTCTACATGCCTAAATGCATCGGGTTATTGCCATGTGATTAGCTAATTAGATATTTGCATTAAGAATTTGAACTGTATCCAATGAAGTGGCTGATTAGTGTATGCACATTACTTAGTGTTGTTACATTTATGTTATTTAAATAAACATTTCAGTTGGGTGTTTGTGTTTCTAAAGGTTTGCTGTGGCTCTAAAATGCTTGAAACCTTTTGACTGTGAAGAATCTAATGAACTCATGGTAAGAACTGCTCACAGAGTATGTTCGGATTTCTGAAAATGTTCACTTGACACAGCGGTAAACTGTTTTTGCTTTTTTGTTTGTTTTAAACAGTGTAAAGCCAAAGAAAGCTATGATGCTGCAATATCATGGTCCTTGGATCTCATAACCGACTACAGATTTCGGATTGGTGAGTTGCTTATGTAATGCCTCAGCAAGCAGAAACACTGTTGTGTGTGATATGTTGTTTAAACAATATTGGGATGATATCACTGAATTAGCTGCAGTACTAATCATGTTTTATCTTTGTAGCATGTGGCTCATTTTCTGGCTCCTTCATACAGTACTTTGATCACGATATGAGTAAGTTTCATCCTTGACCTGGAATCAGAAATTTCAACGAGGCTAGCACAGAATTAAAAAGTTGAATACACCTACAGATTCGCTAGGCCCTGATGTTGCTCTTGACTGCTGGTCTTAATTGGTTTAGGTTATCCTGTGAGGAGGAGGTATCCAAAGGCAGCTTCAGAGAGACTAACCATCATCAGTGATTCAACAATGGAGGAGCCATGTGATGTTAAGGAGGACAGCTTTAGTGAACAGCAGAAGGACATAAGGTGTTCAAAGAGGTTGCTGCCAGATCGGACCCATGCTGCCCACAACCGCGCAAATGAGAAGCTCGTACATTTCATTGTCAAGCAACACATGGTCGACGCACACCTCCTGGTATGAATGACTCTGTTGCTTTTCTGCTGGCGTAATTCTTGTTCCATATCATTTAATCCAATATAGTTATACCAAGAAACTGTTCAGTGTGCATAGCAGTGACTTGGCCGATAGAGTTTTAGGGGGTGATTGTTTGTGTTCCTCAAAAAGCTACAGTTCTGGTGTCACTTCACTAAAATTATGTAAATGTTGCAGCAGTGATGAGTAATGAGTGCTGCTTTGATCTTTTAGGACAGCCCAAACTGAAACAGAAGCAGAAAGCAGAGTTTTTTACCAGCTCAAAATAATTTAATATTCTGAGTAATTTGGACTATTTGTTTTCCTTTATGCCACCAAAGTTTTATGAGATGAAAACTCATATTTGGTTTCTGTGGCTCAACTTAGGCTTGAAACTTTCCTGCTCAAATTATGTAACTTTTCAGCTTTTGAGTTATTGACTGCAACAGTGCCGGATCTAGTGCACCGCTAACCTGACCCCACTGTGGGCTGCCCATTGTGGGCTGTGTGGGTACGCCAGTACTGGGGGTAGTGGGTTTGCCCATTTAAAAAGCCCATAAAGGGGCCCCCAAAAGGTAAAACTGCTGCCAGCCCTGTGTGGGAACACCCAACTGTGAGACCCACGTGCAAAATGTGTGGGTTTGCCCCAACCCGCACAGCTTCACAGTTCACCCACTGCACAAGCACGTTTGTAGGCCACGGTTTTCATCTGTTTTTACAATACAGAATCACAATACATATAAAGACTGGGTGAGGTTGAAACACCAATCAACAACAAGGGCTTTGAAGTGCTGCAAGAGAAGAGCCCTGTTCTGCCCTACTAATGAAGTTACAATAGATCCAAACAAAAGCCTTTCAACTGTAATTCTTCGTGGAAACCAAATATGCCTTGACTTTGACTTCCTCTTTTAGCTGGCGTTACCATCTTGGAAGTTTAGAAAAAACACATGATGACCAGCTGACTTAAAACATGTAGCCACTGGTGAACTTTCATCTGAATTCCTTTTGTTGCTTTTATGTGCAGAGATCCTTTTTTGTGTCTGTTTGTTTTTGTTTTAATAAATCTTGATTAGTTTTCACAGCATATACCAGCCCAAATGTGGATTTCAACAACTAAATCATAAACAACAGATTTGTTTTTTGTTTTGTTTCTTATTTTAAACTTATTTCCAGTGTGTGGAAACAAATGCACGTCTCCTTTGGCCATAGCATCACATTTGGCACAGTTACATAGGTCTGGAAATTAAAGATGGTCAAAGACTAGACATTTAAATTCAACTTGCCATCATTTATGTTCTTCTTAGTTCCTTGTTATAGTAATGGAAAGAAGGATCGGGATAGATTTTTATTAACACCTTTTTTTAATTTCATTTATATAGTACAATACTAAGGTTATCATCAACAAATGCATATTATTTTTCTGTTATAAAGGTTCATGTTATACCTTGATTGATGACATACCACTTGATAGGTTTGTAGCTTGAACCCATCCGCTGGAACGTTGAAGGCAATATAATTACACTGCAAAGCAAGACACAAGTAGGCAAGCTTCTTCATGTTTCTCGTGCACGGGAGAGAACCGGACAGGCACCGTTCCTTCGCTTGACCCCAGTTGCTCTCGTCCGTTCTCCCGTACCACTGTTCTTTTATTGAGGTTACATGAATATGCATAAGTTCATTAACATATGACGTCTACATACACACAAAGAGTACCTTGCCTGTGTGTGTGTGTGTGTGTGTGTGTGTGTGTGTGTGTGTGGACTGCTGATCAAAGGGTCAAACATCCTTGGTCAGGAAGAGGGTAGCCTCCCCCTCACCCTAGATGGTTCATCCTAGATAACACGGTGAGGAAGTCCTGCAGTTCATCTAAACAAAGAGCACTTAGACTAGAACAGACGCAACTACGTTAATCCTACCATAAAACAATAAGACACGGTATGACCTCTCATGCTCCCAAAGTGCTGTCTAATACACACAAAGTTTGCAGACTATCAAGGATCAAAACCTCTACCAATCTACAACTAATTACAAAACTCTAAGCATATATAAGTAAATATTTCTAAGCATAAATGACAATCAACAATACAAACCTAACACCACTCATGATTATATGCTATTTTTTGCTGATGCTTATAGCTGAAATGCCCTAGTTTGCCGTTAGGTAAACGCAAAGAGGTACTTATAAATGAGTACCAATATTTTGTTTGTCCTAACTATTTATCAAGACCAGGTATCCTATGCTCTTATACGTTTCTGAATTGTGCGCTCTGTTAGTATGACACCAGAGCAAAGTCAAAAGCAGTCTATCTGTTAAGACGTGGAGATTTATTTGAATAAAGTACGGGTGGTAGAGGCCACAACGAATGTAAGCTGACCTCGATTTTAGTATACTTACAAATTTAAGTTCACCCCAGTAATGTCCAATACTTTCAGGAGCTCAACCAGTTATGCAAAGAGTGTGCCAGAGCATGCAAAAATTAAACAAACATATGGATGAATATTGAAAGTATTTGCATATGAATGCTATAATTTTTTATTTTTTTTTCAGTTGCAGTTCTTTTTAAAATCTGACATCTGAGCTGCGCCACACGAAGATGTGATAGCATAAGAAACTATAATTGATTGAATAAATCTCTTCCCATTGTATCACACTTCCTACAGGCTGTGATCCATGGACAGGAGAAGTCCAGGTGGCTTCGCTCCTTCTTAAGTGACAATCGTAGACGAGTGGTGAACATATACCTTGAAGATGACCATCAGCTTGACCAAGTCTACTGCTACCTAAATGAGCTCTATACAGCAGCTGTGGCTGTAGCCCCCTGCGTAGCTGATGTGAAATCCATGGATCGTGTCCCTTTTGTCCTGGATGTGCTTCTTCCTGAGGTGAGCTAAAGCCTGCATGAGTGCTCACAGGTTTTGTTTGCAATGTTTCCTGATATGCAGTTCTGTTTCTGTAGTCCAGGTGTTATGAGTTTGTTTCTGTGCAGGCCATTATTTATGCCATTGCTGGAGTGGACAACATTTCAGTAAAAACAGCAGAAGAAAAATACCTCAGAGGGCGGCGTATAAGTAACAGGTAAGACTTTCATATGTTAAATTTTTAAAAAGAATGACTTCATTGATAAATACTAATTTTTTGTTGTTGTTGTTTCAGAGAAAGGCAGCAGTTTGATTTAAAGATTGAGCAGCAAATGAGGAAGAAATCGCATCCAAACACTTCCATTATTCTCTGACTGTCGGTCTGAGTGTCAAGATTTGTGACATTTTGAGTGTTTTAACTTTTGTTTATAAGTAATGCAGCCATAACCGGTGTGCCTTGCAATCAATCACTGCACTGTTTTTTTTTTGGTTTTTTTTTTTGTATACTTGTAAAAAGTGAATATCAAGCATATAATAAAACCTAAAAACAGGCCATGAAATGTAATCATGAAAGGCAGTTTCATCACCTAACTTTATTCCGTAAGTGGAAATGTACACATGGCCAAATCGCTTCTCAAGCAGCTCAAGTATTAATGATCTGTCTGCATGTGCTTTTGTCAGAGTTTTACATAAAATAAAAAGTGTTATAAAACTTTTTGTTGAACTGTGAAGGTTCTCATAAACACTAAAGGGACAGTCACACAGAGACCATAGAAAGGCAAAAAACCCTCTGCAATGGTGAAGAAAGTGGTAATAGACATTCCCCCACATCAAGGTGAGCAAATGAAGCAACCAACAATCCACCAATGAGAGAAAAGGATACCCCTGATTTAGTGATGGGATTTCCGGCTCTTTTTAGAGATCCGGCTCTTTCGGTTCGGCTCACTAAAAAGAGCATGAACTGAACTTCCAAAGCAGAGCTACTAGATCACTTAAATTACACAATTGAAAGCATGTGTGTATTGTTTGTGTATTTATACACAGGCACTCATATATATATTCAAATAATTTAAAAAAAAAAGTTCATCTACCTGTTACTATCACACACCAAATCCGGTCGTTGGTACTTGCTGGCTTGTGTAGCCACAAGATAACAAAAGCTCAACACTGCGCCCAGCATCCTGGAGCACTTCTGTTGTCTTTTGTACGTGTTTTGAGTTTTTATGTGCTTCTGAGTTTTTACATGCTTCGGAGTTTGTACGTGTTTTGGAGTTTTTACGTGTTTTGGAGTTTGTACATGCTTTGTCTGTAGGGGCCACCGTAAATATACTTTTATTTATTCACTCCACATAAAATGTAATAAATAAATCATATAATACAAAAATCAACTATTCACATTTCAACTTTTAACTATTTAAATTTTCAGCTTTTTCCTTTTACAAATTTAAAGTAAAAACAATACAAAACACTGCAAACCGCAACACAATTAAATATAAATTAAAATATCAAAACAAAAAGAAGATGCATATTCTCTGTCATATGGGCCTGGATGAATAAACTTTCTGAATCCTTTATCATCTGCAACTGAAAATAGTTGTGGATGATTACTATACCTTTCTAATGTCACATTGTTGTCCCTGGCTCTCTTTCTCTCTCTCTCTCCCTCTGGCTCTGTTCCTGCTACTGAGTGTAACTACCGCCCCTCCCCCCTCTGCCCAGGGTAAAGCACAAGGCTCGCGTGCAGGCGAGAGAGAGAGGGTGAGAGAAAGAAAAAGAAAAAAAACCCACGTGACGGCTCGCGATAAGGAGCCGGCTCGCGTCGTTCACGTCAAAGAGCCGGCTCTAAGAGCCATTTCGTTCGTGAACGACCCATCACTACCCTGATTCACATATGATGGGGTGGAAAATGAATTGGAGGCAATCTGATCCGTCTCAATAAAAGGCCAAATGCCAACAGACTTCGTCACACCAGCAATAATAAACAGTACAGTACATACAGTTTGTGTGTTTGCTGATGTTGAGCTGATAGAAACTGCATTTGAAATTAAGTGAAACTTAAAAATATTACCCCCTTTATGCCCCTTGCTCCTAGATGCCGAAGGGCCGCAACAGCTACTTATTGGTACATGCAGTCATTAAATATCGATAAATTAAGACACCGGACCACTTTGCCTCGTTCATCTCTTTTTACCTGGTGAATAATACACGAACAGGACTGGCTTTCATGTGTTACAGTTTAGGCTCAAATCAGTTTGATATTTGAATGCTCGCAGTGACGTCAATAACTTCCCGCAAATCTGAAACTAAAAGTAACAGCCTGTTTTGAAAATGTAAGGAGTAGAAAGCGCAGATAATTGCTTTAAAATGTAGGGAGTAAAAGTAAAAAGTAAAGTAGAGATACCCGAATAGTCTACCTATGTACAGTAACCAGTGTTGGGAAGGTTACTTTTAAAATGTATTCCATTACAGAAAACAGAATACATGCCCCAAAATGTATTCTGTAACGTATTCCGTTACGTTACTCAATGACAGTAACGTATTCTGAATACTTTGGATTACTTAATATATTATCATGCTTTTTACAACAACGTGAATGTACTATTGCTGTGTGATTTATTACTATTACTGAAGGTCCGCGACTCCGAACTGTAGTAAAGGGACCTCTGACTAATATGGCGGGGTCCCTGTCGGCTCGTAGCCGAAAAATAGCTTTACTTTGTTGTGTGGGTCAACTTTTCTGGCGAGAGACAGAGAAAGGCATTGAAAGGCTGCTCCAACGGAACTTATTGTTTTTCGAAGGAAAACACGAACACGGTGTACAGTCGAGTCTTAATAGCTTACTTACAACTGGGCTCGTCAGGCACTCTTATTGGCTGAAGTGGTTATTATTATATTTACATGCTTCCAGCTCCCGTTTTTCCTCGATGACAACTCGTACCTTTCCACTCCCCTTTTTCTCCCTCCTGGCACTCACAGACCCCATAACGTGTATGGCAGTCCATTCTCCCTGCAGTACGGACTACACTGCCCATGATGCTACATTCTTTAGAGCTATGCTTGTAGCATTCTGCCTGTTAGCTTAGCACAACAACAACAACGAAAAGGCGCTCTCCCACCCAGGAAACACACAGTCGCAGAGAGAGAGAGAGAGCGTCGCCCTGTAACCATGGCAACCGTAACCCTGCCTCCTGGAACAACAGAACGTAGCTGTCAAACAAAACCCAAACAGTCCTGACCGGCGACAAAATGAAACAGGAAAGTACCGCAGTGTAATCCATGTATTTCAACAAAGTAACTGTATTCTGAATACCACCTTTTTAAACAGTAACTGTAACGGAATACAGTTACTCATATTTTGTATTTTAAATACGTAACGGCGGTACATGTATTCCGTTACTCCCCAACACTGACAGTAACGAAGTATTTGTCCCTGCTGTCTTTTTGTCAGAGGCACAACTGACACTCGTCTCCACCCACTCCACCCTGACTTGATGCCAGCAAAATCATGTATCTTCACTACCTTTCCTTGGAGCTTAACTGTTATTATAGAGCTTTTGCTTTGCCTTTCTGCCCCCGCATTGGAGCATTTTCACCACACGGCATATGATCCGTGTGTTGACCCTGCAGCTAAAAAAAGAAAAAGAAGAAGAAGTTTGATATTGCAAAGTCATGATCTTTCCGGTTTTAGTTTCTATTGTTCAAACAGAAGCAATGCCCAGACTGAGGGGGGCAGCAGTGCGTCCTCGATGTGTGTCTATTCTGTCGGAACCACAGCGAGGAAGAAATGCGTCAGAGCACTTTTCGACTGTGGAAATGGCGCTCTGCGTCGTTGGAGCCTGAAGTCAGAGGATCCTTTCGTGCTTGTTTGTCAGGTGAATCTCCTAGAGGGCTATCGGTAGGAGAGGTACTTTAAAAAGCAACGGATTATGACAGAGGAAGAAAGGAATCGAGATAATTATAAAGGAAAACGAACCAATTGTGGCTCTGATATAGCCATCAACATTCTCGCACAGGTAGTGTAAACGTTGGTAGCAAAAGCTAGCGGCACATTGCCTCACGTTTTCCAGGTCAGCTTGGAAAGATGTAATCGGGCCAGCTCGGCTCACTAAATGAGTTTATGCCGAGTAAATCCCCACACAGATTCACAATGCGGGCGTCACTTGTGTTAAATAGAAACTAACTCTGCTGCGGTGCTGCCAGAAGCTACAAGCTAACTGCGCTGTCTGGCGTTACGTTTTAACTGAAGCTAAACCACCAAAAGGACATCAGTCCACCTATATACTCAGATTGAAGTAAAACAAGACTCGTCGCTGACAGAGCTGTGTTTTTGCTAAGATGTCAACAATGATAAATGCCAGTTATAGTTATTAGCTGGGGTGGAAAAAACAAACATACCGCAAGTTAGACGCACACTGCTAGCACAAAGTTAGCTGCGTTAGCGAAAGTATTGCTGTACCTCGGGCTAGTTTAGCTAGCCACCCTTACTTTACCTTCCACTAGTGGTTAAAACGTGATGGTTTTAGCTTCAGTCACCGCTGTAGTTGACTTGTTGTAGCACAAACCTGATAGTCTACATGAAATGGCAACAACTTCCAAATAGTTAGTTATGCAGATGGATAACCTTAGAGTTAGCTTTCTTAACTTTAAGGGTGAAATTGAATGAACTGTAATCCTGCATAACCTTGCAAGCTAACTCGGTAACCTGCTAATGCAAGTGTATCAAGGCTACTACTTATTGTCCAGCACTAGATAACACTTGCATTGTTTCATTTATCTTTTTAATTTTATCACCATTGTGCGTTACTTAGCAATGTAAACAAATGGTTTGATACCATGTAGACGCTAACGAGCCAGACAACATGAGCCGGTTACTGTGGTTTATGGAGCTATATAATGTTTTTATTTTGTCTCACATTTTTCATCATCGCTATATGTACATATTCTGTCTTGTAGAAAGTTGAAAATGTTAGAAATGCATATAGGTGTCACACAGACTTGACAAATGTTGACACACGTGATCGCTATATGTTTGTTTGTTGAACCCATACGTGCTTTTCAATAGTGTTTTGTTGTTCTAAAAACATTTGCCTCCGACAGAGAATATATATTTATTATTTTGTAAATGTTATATCTGTGTGTTCAAACTCATGCCCTGGCATGTGGCTGCTGGACTACAGGCTTGTTGCGCGGGAGTTCACTTGAATCCAACGTGTTTCCTTATGTGGCCACAGGGGGCGGTATTGGGTACTATTGTGCAAACTAAACGTAACAGCCGAATTTTTGTCAGCACTGTATACACAACAGAGTAACGCAGATAATGCTATCTTAGTGGAGCACTAGTGCAATGACGGGGCCAGTCGACGGCATAAACATGAGCGTACTTGTGTTAGTCATGGTAATAACATGAAATAAACATTAAAAAAATCTTACACGAGTAAAGTTTTAGGAGTGGTCTGCCCTATGTAGGGGAAATTGGAGTATACAGCTTGTGAACCACAAAATAAAATGACCTTGAAATCTCTAGTTTACAGTGCTGTTGATGTAGACCTGTGAATTTACATGTTTTGGTAGTGTCAGTTATTATGAACAGGGGGGGAAAGGCCACTTGAGCAGGTTGGCTACTCTATTATTGTAATAGTGCTCACTGTGAGAAGAATGTGCTAACAGATGTGCAGCTGTATGCCACACGTTGTGGATTGGAAAGCAAGCCCATTCTCAGCCCCAGCTGTCCAAAAGTTTGCTGACAGCATATTTCCTGACAACTGGGGGGGGCGCGGCGCAGGCAGTGTTTTGAAAGAAAGACCTCTTTTGTGTAGAAACCTGATTAGTAAGGGTTCAGGGGGACTTTTAATTTGTTTTAATTTGTGTTTACTTAATGAGCGAATAGCTTGGCTAGGGTAATATGGAAGGAGGGAAATAGATGTTTTTGACTATTGACAGGGTTTTTACTGGCTCAGAATGCGCCTGTGGGAGATGAATACATACAAATCAAGCCTGAGTTTGTTTCCTTATTTGACATAAATATGTGCATTTTATTTCTGACCCCTTTGATAAATAAAATGTCTGTCTTTTTTGTGTAAATTCAACCCAAATTAACAAAATTGGTTTTACAATTTTCCTTTTGGCTCTGCCCTTTTTGTAAGCTGCCCCTCAAAAAAATCTAATAATAGTTTTATCATATTTGGCCAAAAGATTGGGTGAAATGTAAATAAAATAATCTTTTTAACATTTATTTATTTCCTTTTTATTTTTATGCAGTGAACAATGCATGACCTGACTGCACAAGTCACCAGCAGCTTGCTGCCTTTCTCAGGAGTGACTGTAGACGCTCTGGGGGAAGATGAGATTACGCTAGATTCTGTTCTTCATGGGAGGTTTACCGTTGGTAAGAATATTTCATTATTATTTTAAGCATTTAACAGCCTTTTTTTCTTCTCTCTTATTTGTAATAGCAAATAAAGAATATGAAATACAATACCATCATCGTCATATGAAAACATGTTATATAATGAACTATTGAAACTATATCACCCGGTGGGAAAAGAATCACTAAATAATACATGAAAATAAATCTGATGAGCTACTTGGTTTATGACAGTCTGACATCAAGAAAAACATTTTTTTTTTCTTTTTGTCCAAGTCACTGCTTAATCTGCATGTTTAGGACATGCGGTGTATATTGTCTGACCTTTGACTTTGACACACTTTACTATTGGATGGACTTTTGGTTTGAAAAGAATTTCAGCATGTTCTTTCAAACAAATAAAAGAGCAGATAAGTTATGAATGGAAGCGCAAATGGTAACTCATCTTTCCAGGCTTCCATCCATGAACCAAACTTTCACTTTGCAGGACAATAAGAATTTCAAGAACTTGCAACACCATAAAATAAAGGCAGACAGCAATCGAGATGTTAAAGCTGATTGTTTCTTAAATATAAAAATCCATTCATACACACACGTAGGTTTTCATTTCTTCTGTTGTTTTTAGTAATTTTTTTTTGTTAATTATTTTGCTTCACATAATTCTTTTACCGGGTAAATAAGTTGCTGATGTTGCAACATTGGGTAATTAAAAGGGAGGAAGAAAATCACCTCAAAATCAAACATACCAAAAGCCTTTTTAAAAATGTTTAATTTTTTGTAGTAATTTCCTGCTTTATCATCACGAGGCTAGCTTTCAGCTTAAACTGCACAATGACCTGCCGCTTTTAACTTTTCTGTCCTTGTCTGTGTATGTAGGTCGCAGCGGGTTGGCCTGGCTGGCCTGTGGACCCCATTTGGAGGTGGTCCATGCAGTGACAGGAGAACGGCTGTCTGCATACTGCTTCAGTGGCGGAGGGGAGCACCCACCCAATGTCCTTGCCGCCAGAGACTTCAGCTGGCTGAAACGGTTCGAGCTTTATTTCATGATTTATTTGGCTCATTTGGATGTGGATGTAATCAGTGAAAGTTCACTATGAAGTGCATACATAATAAAAATAATGACAGTGCAAATGTTAAGTCCTCTGCTGGTTAATTTTAACAGGTCTGGTTTGCTGGTTGGCTTGGAGGAAACAGAAGGCAGCGTGCTGTGTCTTTATGACTTGGGACTGTCAAGAGTGGTGAAGGCTGTTGTCATACCAGGCAGAGTGGGTTGACCATAGTTTTTACTATTTTAACATTTAGACTCAAGTTTCTAGAACTTTAGTTAACGTGAACATTTTCTGTTTTTCTTTCCTAAAACTCTCTTGCATCTAGATCACAGCTATTGAGCCATTAGTGAATTATGGCGGAGCAAGCACGTCAACACAACACCTTCACCAGGGTTTGCGCTGGTTCTTTGGAATTGCGGCCGTAGTAACGGATCTCGGTCACGTACTCCTTGTGGACCTCTGTCTCGATGATCTTTCCTGCAACCAGAGTGAACTTGATGCTTCAGGTGAGAAGTTTCAATGAGGAAGTGATGTGTAGTATGCTTTCATACTTTTGTGGATGTCTGTACTTTCTGTTCCCATTTCACCTTTTCATTGTATGCAAACATATTCTGGTAACTAAAGATTGTCCTTTTTTTTCTTAAAGAATCTCTCCCTTTATATTTATTCTGTTTGCAGACCTGCAGGTAGTGACTAAATCTCCTGCAGAAATCCCCAAGCTAAGAGAAGTCAGCACAAGAGAGGGCAGACATCTTTGTCTCCAGCTGAATGGACCCAGTGGAGTTGGAGCCACAGCTCTGCAGTACATCTCTAGGACCAACCACCTGGCAGTAGGATTTTCAGATGGATACTTACAGCTGTGGAACATGAAGACTTTAAAGAAAGAGTGAGTGCTAGTATTTCTTCCGACTTCTATCCGTAGACTTTGTGTAAAAGATGTGTTTATTTTGCAAGTTGTAGTTCCCACTAGAGTCAAAACAGTAAGAATAGCATGTTTAGCATATATATATATATTTATATTTGCATTTGCCTTTCTTCCATTGTTTATTGCAGATACCACTCACAGTTAGAGGGTGGCAGGGTGCCTGTATATGCCTTCACTTTCCAGGAGCCAGAGAACGACCCCAGGAACTGCTGCTACCTCTGGGCGATCCAGTCTTCGCAGGATCTGTAAGTTTTGCCTTTAACTTTGGTTTAGTTTACAAACAAGTATTTTTAAGAACTGCTTCCAGCCAGACTGTGTGTGTGCGTTTGTTTGTTTGTGTTTATTTCAAGTTCTTATTTTCCTCTGCATCCTTTTACTCCCACACAGTGAGGGAGATGTGGTCACCCTGCGCTTGCTTCAGTTGGCCTTCAGTGAAAGAAAGTGTTTAACTTCTGGAAAGATCCTCTATGAGGTCTGTATTGCATATAAGAAATAAATGTATATTGATTTCAAATAGTGAATCCTATACTGGGCAGATCCCAGCAAATGCACAGTGTATTCCTCATACTAACTATTAATAACTGTTACATCCTTTTTAAAACATTTTTTTATCTTACACTCACACAGGGTCTCGAGTATTGTGAGGAACGTTACAGTCAGGATTTAAGTGGCACGGCTTTCCCTCTCCGGGCACAGGCCACAAACACCCGCCTCCTGAGCTGCCAGACTATTGAGAAATTCAGACCTCATCCTGACAGGGACGACAGCATGAATGAAGGTATTTAAAAGCACTGAACCCTTCTTTACACAGCGTATCTAAACTTTATCGTCTTTATTACTTTCTTCAATCACTTCACACCACACTTTTCATCTATCCTCTGTTCTTTCCCTTTCCAGTTGCATCTCCAGACACCAGTGTGTCCATCTTTACCTGGCAAGTCAAGGCCTACGGCCAAGGAAGTCTGTCTACCTACATCGGGGTTTTTGACATCAACCGCTGGTACCACGCACAAATGCCAGACTCTTTAAGGTACAATGGAAAGTGATTTCAAAACATTTGTTGTTGTGTTTTAGTTTTTTATTTTATGCATGTTTTAGTTTAGTATATTAATGTAATGCATTTTTGTACTCGTTTTTTTTTTTTTTTTTTTGGCAGAACGGGAGAGTCTCTGCAGATGTGTCCATACCTTGCTGCTTGGTCTCTGGATCCAGTGGTGCAGATGGTATCTCCACATGTCTTCCTAGATGTGGTGGTACATGAGCGCAGCCTGAGCAGGGGCCTTCCCTTCACTTGCCCTCCACCAGAACAGTACTTTAACCCCACCACTTATAACTTTGGTAGGTTTAACACAACACATGCACCACAGCCTTGGCTTGGAAACATGCAAAAATGTAAGCTTGTATTAGCCTCTAAAATGCTTCTTTTTGAATTATAATATGACAAATGAGTTTGGTTTGCTTTTCTCCCTCTCTCTTCTTCCTTTCTTCCATTTCAGATGCTACTTGTTTGCTCAACTCTGGAATTGTGCACTTAACATGCTCTGGGTATCAGAAAGAGGCAAGTTTCTTGTTGTTCACCTCATCATTGTTTTGTTTTGTTTTTTTGTTGGTGTTCTTTGTTTTCTTTCTCTCTCTCTTAAATATATAGGCATACATTGAAGTTAAACTTATTTTAAACCCACAATCATTTCATTTTTGTCATTAAAACCAGACCCTGGGTTTTTTGAAGAAAGCTGCTCCTTGTTCCAGTGACACCATCTCCACTAGCTACTCTCACTGCCTTATGTCCGGCCTACTTTCATCCCGTCTGGCTGACACCCAGCCATCCAGCCTGTCTCAGGTACATGCAGACTTGTGAGCGTCACGTGGACCCCGCTTTTTTACTTCCTCTTTTTGTATAGATTATTTGAAAAAAGATTTTCTTAAAAATTTACAAGTGAAATATTCATTATTTTTTTTATTCGTTTGTATTCTCATCTTTGTTCTTCAGGAAGAGCAGCTTGATGCCATCTTGTCTACAGCGGTGGAGACTAGTTCCTTGGGACTGATAACTGGTTGCATTAAGCAGTGGACTGCAGAAGGTACAACTAAAAATAAGATTTATTTGAACTGCTCATGTCACCCAGTTTCACGGCATACATGATAGTTATTCACAAAGATACATTTACCTGTTGCATACTTGTATGTTCTATTAAATATGTGCTAAACTCTTCTCTGTACAAATTGTAACCACCTATATTGATGTTAACGCCTCCAAATTCTCTTCTCCTTCAACAGAACAACCAGGCTCTGCATTGAATCTGCGCTACATCCTGGATTGGGCCTGGAACAAAGTAGTTCAGACCAAGGAGGAACTGGATGGCATCTGTATGTGGTTTTTTTTGTTTTGTTTTTTTTTGTTTGTTTTTGTTTTTTAAACATGTTCTATTAAATTAGAAAGTTACTTTTACAAACCGGATGTTTAACTACCTACATTTCAAAAGTTTCTCAACCTTCAATGTGTACTAGTGATAAACTAAAACTACATGTGTATAAATCTTCTCCATTCCCTTTAATACATTTGAATAGATTTGAATTCATATGTTTGCATAACCCATCTGTGCAGCACCTTTCATTAGATACCGGTACATGTTTGCTCTATTCCTTGTCAGAATTTTACATTATTTGTGAATGAATATTTATTTATTTATTTACTTACATTCCTGTGCTTGTGTTTGCAAATGTATTTTTAATAGATCCATTTATGTGATCCTCTGCAGGTTCACCGCTGTTTGACAGCTCATCTAACTTCACAGACCCTCAGACCATGCAGCTGCTGCAGCACACTCAAAGACTGCTGAGTAACCTCAGTGCCATTTTCCACTGTCTGCTCAGTGAAGCTCAGGAGCTCACACAAAAAGGTGCCCTGTCCACACAGTTGCATGTACAACTTTTATATTTTGCTGTCGTGTTGTTGAAACTGCTTTAACTGACATGTCAACACTTATTGGTACTTTTAAGTTGTAATGCGATATCCTTTGATTAGTTTTGTTTAGAAAGCTTTTATGAAGTTTAGCCATTTGTGTATTTTGATTGGTTAGCTCTTCTGGCCGAAGGTCCAATGAGCACTGTACCTTAAAAGTCTCCATCCAGCCACAAGAATTGCTACTCTTCCTGGAGTGTTGATCAGATTTTAGTGAATCTTTGACTTTGTCCATGACTACAGGTCCATATCTAGAGTAGAATAACTAAAAGTAGAATAACTGCTGCCGTAGTGTGGTCAACAACCTTATTTAATGGACTGCAAAAAATGCCTGCAGTTCTTTTTATTGATTTATCAAAGCCTTTTGACACACAGTTGTGGTTTTGGTGTAGGGAGATTATTTTGTCCTGAGTGTGACCTGCATTTGTGATCCAAGGAAGAGAATGGATGGATGGGATTTTGATTTTCATTAGATTGTGAAATAGAGCCAAACAGTGATGACAACAACATATACAACACTTTCTTTTCATACTTTACACTTTGTAATAAACTATGATTTGTCATGGATCGTGAGCTCCTTTGTCACTAACATTCATTTATGTTCTTGTTTCAGGTCTGGTGGGTTTAATGAACAAGAATATGGTGTCCAGTCTCATCTCCAAGTATGCTCAGGTGGTCCTTTGGTTCTGTCGTACTGGCTTGCTCCCTGAGGGTTCAGGTAAAGTGATGCTGTCATACGTAATCTGAAAATGTATCAAATGAAACCCCTATGAAAAAATGGAAAAGCATATATTTTTCAAGAGAAACACATTTAAGACCAATTAACAACGTGTCACTAAATAAGTGAATATAATAAATGTGAGAGCACTTAAAAAACGACTGGTTTTGTTTATTTCTGCAAAGAAACATGTCCGTTATAACTAACCCCTGGTTATTTAAGCAAACAAGGAGGACTAGGTTCTTGGAGTAACTAGTCCACATGTCTTCATTAGTTTGTTTATTTGAACTTTATTTTCAAATTATTTGCAACGACTAGAAAATTATTGCTGTATTTATTTAAAAAATGTTTCTCCTTACTTTACTAGATGATGATGCTCTTCAGATTTCCAGGCCTTTCTATACTCACTCGGTCATCAGCAACTATTACACCATACGCAGGGAGGAGCTGACCAGGCTGGCCAAGTGAGTAACAAAAGGAGTTTGGGTGTACATGCATTAAAATCTAGGCCTCCTTTATAACAAACGCAAACGTCTATGAGATGTGCCCGTTCCAGGTTTACGAGTTGTCTCCTGTTTTCCTTTGATTAAGCTGACCACCTGCTGTTTTCTCAGGGGCAAGTGGTGCGCAGACTGCCTGATGATCGACGGTTTAGTTGGCCAGTGTGGCGAACGCTTGACGAACCTGTGGAAAAGGGATGAAGGTGGAACGGGGCAATACCCACCACCTACACTGCATGTAAGAATTTAAATCTATATTTTACTTTATTCATTTTATTTTTAAACAAACAATACTTATTATTTAATATGCTTTTATAATTTTTAAGATTCTCAATTGTGTGATTTGCAGGCCTTGCTTGACATATATCTGCTGGACAACATTGACGAGGCTGCAAAACATGCGATTGTATCCTTCAACTCATACTGTCTGTTTACAGAATCATATATCTTCAGCATGTATGCATTTTAACACTATATACACAACTGTTAGATTGTTAGTGATTATTTTTAGTCCACTAACTTCAGTCAACTTCAGTAAATATTAACACAGATGACCATCTTAAGCATTAATTTGAACTAGCAAAACAGGCTATCATCATTTGTTTATTTCACTCATGTATTCAAACATTTTCACTTTATAGAGTGAGATGGTGAAAACGCTGTTCATATTTTCATATCTTTATTCTTATGCTTTGTATGCTACACATTCATTGTATATCCTCCTGAGAACTGAAGGAAAAAAGTATCTTTCAGTTTAATTTTTATTGTCCACTGCAGACGACATAATGAATTGGTCGGGTCTCAGGAGGATATGACAAAGTAATGAATTATAGGCACTGTTATGCTGCTGTTTAAACACTTATTTACAGTTAGACAATACATTCCAGTGACCCTAAAGTGCCAATGCACTAAAAATGTATTTACAAACAACAACATACACATAACATAGACCTAATGTTGCAGTTAATTTTGATTTTAATTTTATTCCAAATAATATATATCGTTTCTAAGGATTTGAGCGATTTATAAAAATAGTTCCCAGTGACTATATTGACGTTGATAATCCTGCTATGCCAGGTAGTTTATATGGTATATTTCATCAGCACATCTAGAAATTGGGGGAACGGACACGCGCTGTGATCATTATAGTGAGATTTTAACTTGATTCCTTTTGCTTGTATGATCCTTGACCTGTTGTTCCAGGTGATTTACCTCTTGTTAGATGTCATGTACTCCTTCCCCAATAAGGACGGCGCATCAGTGGAGTCTTTCCCCACAGCTTTTGCTATCCCTATTGGACTCATTAAACTAGTACAAGGCCTATGGCTCCTGGACCATCATGACCATCAGGTAAAAGCATTGATTGGAAACCATTATTATGCATCGTAAGCAATAGAAAAGAATGGGTTTGCGTGCTGCGTCCTATGTGAAAAGGCCTTTGCTAACTCAGAGACATGTGCATGTATAATCAGACCTCATGATGTGACAGGGTTTTTTTATGTTTATCCTTCAGTAAGTGTAATGTTAATTCCTTCGTTTTTTCCTCATCAGAGTTCGTTTGAGCTTCTTTTGCACCCAGCCGCTTCTCAGTTTCACTTTGAGTGGCAGCATGAGCGCGTTCTGCAAGCGTTGATGTGCCAGGGCCAACAGTCAGTGGCTCTACGATACTTCCATGTCACAAAACCTGCGGTTTCCAACACTTCACAGGCCAAGCTTTGCCTGTCTGTGCTGTTGCACAACAGGTACGTTTAATGCATTAAAGTATTTATTAATTCGTTTAATCTCTTTACAAGTATGCAGCAGCTGCTTGATCTTCATTAACCAATCTGTTTGCCCTCCCGCCAGGTGTCTCATAGAAGCATGGTACCTCCTCCGGCAGCACTCTAATCGCCTCAACATGACTGAGCTGCTCGGTTTCCTGTATGAAAGCTGCCAGGAGTTGGGCCTCATCAAGGAGCTGCTCAAGCTGCCCCTGGGCCTCAATGAACAGGTAGAGAGATGGTGAAAGCACTGATAAAAAGTTGGTTGTGAGATTTCTGATTTGTTTTCTTATTTATTTATTTTTAATTACATTGTAATTGTTTCACCTTTGTATTTTTAAATTATTGCTTAAATCCCTGGTTATTGGTTTGTGTTTTAGGAATGTTTGGAGAAGTTTCTCCAGGGGACAGGTGGTCTCCAGAACAGAGAACTACTGATGGTTCACTACCTTCAGCAAGCAAACTACATCCCTGCTCTGCAGCTCAACCACACCCTGAGAATGAACTTAGTGGTATGTTTGACATATAGAAGCTAATAAAATGGAAATGGTAGAAATTCTGTGACTATTAGATTTATATAGAAATAAGCTTTTTCTAACCATGTTCTCTTGTTTGTGCTTTTGTTTTGTAATCATAGAACGAACGAGACCCAAAGCTTAAAGAACGATCCAACACCAGGAACACCATCCTGGATCTGTATGGCAAAGTTTTGCCGAGAGTTCAGAGGAAACTGGCAATGGAGAGAGCTAAGCCCTACCAACATCCCAACACCATCCACAGAGAAGGTAATGAGACGCTTCATGTTTGTAGCAGTTCACCTCAGTGGAAACCTGTTTTCACAGGAGTGTGTTGAAGCATTTACAGAGTATCATAATAATCCTGAAGAGGCTTATTCAGCAAATGCACAATGTTTTTTCTTTCTCTGTCCCAGTGTCCCGGCCACAGCCACTGTCAACCATCACCAAACACACTGCTAAAGAGAAGGTAGTGTCCAGGGCTGGTTTTATCAACAATGTCCTGAGCAAGATTGAAGAAGTGTGGTTAGGCAAAGGAGCTACACCACAGTGCTCTCCTGCTAACAGGTCAATATAAAATACCAAAATTGCATCTTGAAATTAACTTTTTTTTTAAAAAAAATTTTGCATTTTGATTTATTTAATTTGCTTATTGCAAATTGTTGCCTGGTCATTTTTTCCAGCCCCAGGGCAGCTGAGGTTCCTAGCTGTAGCCCTAAGCCATCCTCCATTGGCCTTCCTGAACCATTCCTTGGAACTCCAATCACCATGACCTCCAAACGAAAGTCAAGGTACATCAGTGAAACTGAATTGTATAATACAGATTTTACCGATCATGAGGGGGAAACGTTGATATTAACTTGACGTGTTTGTCCATCTGGCACAAAGTTGACTTTCTAATTAATTTTTTCATTTCTTATTTTATAAAGATGTTAATATTAAAATATGTTGTATAAATATTAAAATATCTGGTTATTGTACTCAATGTTAAATTTTGGTAAGACAGTATCCTAAATTCATGTTTGTGTTCCTCCTCCCAGGCTGATCGATTTGGTGGTTCATCCTTCCTGTCAAACACCTCGGCCTCTTCTCAGCCCTCCCAGACCTCCCAGTGCCTGGGTTTCACCCAAGAGTGTTAGCAAAGCACCTGAACTCTGTTTGCTGCAAACACCTCAGGTTGTCAAGGTCAGTAGATGAATTTAGAATTGCTTGTTGTTATGTAGTCCAGGATTACAGTATTCATATTTTCTATGCTTATTGTGATATTTAATAGTTTATGATAATACTGTGGAGTACCTTTAGTATTTTGTTACTCACACTTTTCATGTGTTTTCCTCGTCAGCGGGCCCGGGCCTTGGCTGCTTCTGGCCCAGTCTTCTCAGCCTTCACTCCCCAGTCCATCCTGCGCAGCAGCCTGAGGCCCACACCCGTTGCCACGCCTTCTGCTTCACCAGGTCGCTCTATTACACCTCCTATCCGCAGCAAAGAGAACCGTATCACCTTTATTGAAGAGTCAGAATCCCCAGAAGTTGAGAAGGGCATCCGATGGACTAATGGGGTAAGAAAAAAAAGGCACACGTGGAACACACAGAACCTCTGTTTTCAATTTGTGAAGTTGCAGCTAATTTTAGCTGAGCATGTTAATAGGGGAACCACCTGGCTCTTTTTTAAAAAAAAATTTTTTAAATTATCTTAAACAAGAAAAAAAAAACTAATTGTGGATTATGATGGTCTAATAAATAAACTGTGTCTTCCAATCATCTCTGTTTTTTCTGTAGATGGCAGCAGACAGTGAGATTAGTCGGCTGACCAGAAGCTCGGCACTGTCCAAGGCCACACGTAAGACCTGGTCATTACAGCCTGCTGAAGAGGAAGAAGATGGAGATGAGGAAGGGGAACAACCACGTGTAAAGTTCTTGCCTCCAGAAGGTGGAATTTCCTCTCCACAGCTGAAACGCTCCGAGAGCGAGTTATCCTCCGCCCTTGAAGGCGCTGCAGAACAAAAACAATCGGATGCAACACAAACACATCTTAGTTTTAACCTTGACACCAGCACAACATCTGTTCGGTCAACAGACACCACTCTAGAGTATTTTGATGCTCCTCTTTCAATAAACAATGAGGAAAAGGATGGACATGTCAGTACAGAGAAAGACGATGATGATGTAGTGACGGTGAATGTTAAATTCTTGGCTGAAAAAGAACCCGCGGCAACAGCCGAGGTAATGGCCTCACCAGCAACTGAGCAAACCCTTCCTCTGACGTCAGAGGATTCAGAAAAGGAAGAAGATGAGGTAAGGGAAGAAAATACACCAGAGGATGTGATGGAAGTTGATCTTGACCAGGAGGCTAAAACTGAGGAAGAAATTCAGTCTAATAAAGAAGATGATCTGGACGTTGAGTCAAGCACCAAGCAAGATGCTGCCATTGTTGACCAAAATGAGACATCTATTCATCTTCAAGGTAATTTATTCTTATTTGTTTTTTCAGAACTGATTTTTGGAGCAGGTTTGCATTGCACCGAAATCCAAAATCATGATTTTGAAAATACGTTTGGCAATACTTCTCTCCAACATTGCTTGACAAAACATGTATTCTACTAGATCGTGACCAGGGAACTGACAGCGCAGACTCTAGCACTGACGCTGAATCTCAAGATCTCCCAGTTAGAGACGAGGGCCGGGATGTCCAATCAGAGAGCACAGAGTTCAGCGAGCATGCTGAACCTCCTGGAGTAACTGAAACGACAAGTGAAGAGGCAGATCTGGAACAATCAACAGGTCCACATTTCAACTTATTAATCTATATTGTAACTGATAAAGTTAAACGATTTTACCACATTAGATTAGACTGTAAGGATTCATGATACTCGAGGTGGTAAAAAGTGTGAAGAAAGTCTTCTAAAAATTGTTAAAGACATACTAATTACTTTTATCTGTTGGTTTCAACCAAATGTTTTCAAATTAAAATTACTTCAGATTCCAGATTTTTATTATATTGAATAATGATTTTTTTTCTTGGGCAACTACATGGTAATGATGGTGATTGCTGTCTTTTTGTGTTGTTTCTTTAAAGTTTAATAATGTTGCTGTTTTTCCTTCCATCAGATCTGACAGAGTTTGTTCAGAGGCATCTGTTTGGTAGCGATCTGTCTCCTCCACTCACCCGCTCAGCAATCCACAATACATCACAGAACCAGCCTTCCTTCAACAGGTAAACATCAAAGAAACAAGAGAGTCATTTTTACTCATAGCTACGTAGGAGTATTTAGGGTCACATTAAGAAAAGAAATATTATTGATCATGTTGAGAATAAAGTCAAAATTCTGAGAATTAAAATTGCTATAGGCTCTGAGTTAGTGAAATCATACTTCAGAATCGGTTTTAGTGACAAGGAAGGAAATGATGTCTCTTTTAGCACATTAACACAGCAGGGTGATCAGTAGTGGCGCAACGGATCAAAAATCTCACGGTTCGGATCGGATCAATTTTCGGATCAGCAAAAATAGAAAAAGACAAAATTTTAACATTTACTTATTAACTTATTTAAGTATTTTTTGCCTATTAAAACGTTCAACTCAAGACTCATTCCACGGAATTATATAAAATCAAATTAAGGTGCAGTATAGGGCAGTACAGGGCTTTGCATCTACCACTCCGCTGTGATATAATGAGTGGTCACGGTCACGTGGCTTTCCGTTGACCTGGAGGTCCACCCATTTGTAGTTGCGCAACAGAAGATGCCTGGGACAGTTCAGCCATAACTTTAAACTTTTCCTGCTCATACATGCCTGGGTACGATCTTGTCACTGAAGTGGACGCGCAACGGGATATCATAGCGTGGCTCAAGCACGTTCATCATAGTTTAAACCCCTTGTTTTGCACAAGGGAATACGGCCTCCCGTCTGCAGCTAAACACCCCAGTAGCTTTTGTAATAGCTTTAGCCCGGTCGGATTGGGCAGCAAAGGGCTGCTTAAATACCGCAAACTCCTCTGCTCCTCCACTTGGACCGCTAGCGCTGGCCATAACTATCGCTTGACAGACTCACCACGTGCACCATACACATACTTTTTTTTTTTTTTTTTTTTTTTTTTTTTTTTTTGCTGTCCCGTTTGGCTCTTTTGCCATCAGAATTGTTGTCTAAAGGCAAAGAAAGATGCCCAACGGATTTACTTTACCAAACTGACCATCCCAGCCTTGCCGTAATGGTCCATTTGATTCACCTTTTATTGTTTATTTTATTTTCACTTACTGAATACGGGACAGACTTGACTGGGGGAAAGAAGGGGAGAAAGAAAGAGGGAAAGAGAAACAGCTGAGAAGAGGGACGGGGGAGAAGGGCAAAAGACAAAAACCAACAAAACGGGCAGAGGAAAAAAAAATGCATATATCAATCACCTGGATCACCTGCTGAGAAAGAAAAAAGAAAGCAAGCAGAAGAGAACAAGAGTAATAGAATAAACAACATCACAATGATATATGTGAATATGACAGTAAATACTAAATATTAAACATTATTGTGCAGCACATAAGATCAACAGAACACAGTGTGCTTTGAGGTAGGAGCCAAAAAGGGTGTAGTTTGTGGGTGTGATCACCCGTGTGTACACCTGTGGGCATGGACGCGCTTGTTTTTTGTTTTGTTTTTTTAAAAGGTTCCTTCATTTTTTCTTCTTTTTCGAATCTTCGGATCACGTGCGTACCGAACCGTGGAGTGGGATCGGTTCGGATTACGGATCAACCGTGATCCGTTTCACCACTAGTGATCAGTATAAGGACGCTGAAAAGATGGTGCAGTTGGAAAAACACAAACTTGCAAGAGTGGGTTGGTAATGGACAGTTGTGAGGTTAGCGACGGTTAGATCCTTGTGCAATTAAGAGGATGTATGTTGTATCACAAGACGGCTGATCAATTTGTTTCACTAAATGCTCTAAACAAACAATTTTGTAGAGGATGTAGAAAACGTGGCAGTTTGCACATTTCAGCTTTATTCTCAAAATGATCAATGATATATTTATTTCTTGATGTGGCCCTTATACACCTCCGTACATAACCCATAAGGATACGATACAATAAAGATTAACTGTAAAACCGATCATACTAGATTTTTAGTCGTTGGTTCAAACATTCAGTTCTGTGTTTTTTACCAGAGGAGAAGGAAATGTTTTTAGGAACATAACTTGTTTCATTTGCTTAAGTACTGAATTGTTGTTTTGGTGCCAGGACCAAAGCTGTAGTTTATCCAGGTTTTGAGAATTAAATCTTGACTGTTCTAAAGGAACAAGAATGATCACAATCTGTTTACCAGTCGGTGTACTGCTAGCATGAGTTTGTTTCACAGTGGGATGTTATGTAACTCAGTCTTGTTGTTTTCAAGAAGTTAAAAATGGCTGTTGTTCTCACTCTCTCTCAGTGAGCCTTTAGGTAACGATGAAGAGGAGACGCAGGCTGATGCTGAAGCTCCCCCGATGTTTACCACCCAAAAGTCTGCTGCTTCTGTAACCTCCTCAGAGCCAACTGGCACCGATTCCCACTGTGAGGAAAACTGTACACGAATTTCACATCAACAGTGGTGCTATTAATATTACAGTGCTGTTTTACAAATTTCTTCTCTGCTTCTGTTTAATATCTCATAGCTGTTGTGAGCGTCAACGACAGCGAAGACCTTTCTAGCTCTGGGTCTGAAGACGAGGAGGATGAAGATGAGGAGGAAGTGTCAGACCAAGAAGATGAGGAGGAGGAAGAGGAAGAAGAAGATTCTGGTAGTGAGGTGGAGATCATTGAGGAGGTCCCGGGTACTGACAAGCTGCCATCCCTCCAACCCAGTCCATCCTTTGTACAGCAGAGCCACACACACTTCTTGCAAACGCAAGCGGAGCAGGAGGCTGCTGTGTTGTCTCTGATCACCCCAAATGCAGAGATGAAGGTAACAAATGTAGGCCTGAAGGGTTTTGTGTGTCGAGTAGTAGATGGTATACAATCTGAGCAAGTGGAAATTCATTAGATTATTTTAAAAATGTAGTCATGTGTAAATATTTAGACACATTTGCGACTTTTTCATTTGAGGATTTTTTTCATTTTCGTCAGACAGAACAAAATGTTTGAATACGTCTTGTTTGTTTTTTAATTTTGTACTTAAAATCTTTCATGAAAACTCACTTTCTGTGTTTGCTTATTTATAGATGGTAGATGAGGACATAGAGGGTGAAGTGGTTATGGTGAGACTTGGGGCAGATGATGGAATGATGGATCCAGATGAAGCAGTAGAGCAAGGATCGTCATACATGGAGCTCAAACCTTCTACCACCCTTTTGGTACCTGTGGAGCTCATGGAGGGACAGCACGGCCTGGTTGATGAAGCTCAGATGGATCTTCCTGAGCTTCGTCCAACTGTTGTGGCAGATGAAAGTCACGGCAGTTTCTCCTTGATGTTGGATGTGGATGAGGATGGAGATAAAGGGACAGGCATACTACCTATGGAGAATAATTTGCAATCGTGTGACCCTTCGATTCAGTATCAGGTTATGGATGCTAATGAAATTCTGGCCAAACCTGAGGTTATTCTTTTGAGCACAGAGGACCAGGATACCACCCAGTGTGAAGAAGCCTCACGAGAAGAGATTGAAACGGTTGATGGGAACTATATAGATGGCACAGAAATTGTTCAACTCCAAGCTGACTTTCAAACTGAATCTACTGAAGCAAACCAAGAGTCAGATGATGCTAAAAAGCCGAAGGCTGCAGAGTTGGTAATGTTGACTGAAGACCATGAGTCTGCTGCTGTTTCAGTCTCTGTCCCAGCTACATTGGAAGAATGTCTTGCAGCCGTGGAATCTCTGGCACAGGTAGAAGCTGCTGATGTAGCAGTGGAAGCAAAGGACAAACACCATCCTGCTGAGGAGCGGGAAGAGCCTGAGGAGAATGGCACTAGTGCAGAAACGGAGCCTATCACGGAAGAAGAGGAGCTGCAGGACCGCAAATCATCAATGGAGGCAGATGAGGAAAAAGATGAAGAAATTAAAACGGAGAAGGAAACGCAGCAGATAGGTGAGGGAAGCACGAGAACAGATGAAAGTGTTGAAGAGAAACCTGTAAAGCAGGCTTTGAGCTTAAACAGTGAGCTGGAGGAAGAGCCTGTACAAGAGCCTACTACCTCTCAGAGGAAGAAGACTCCTTCCACTCCAACACGGAGGATGACGAGGGGGAGGATGGTAACTTTTATCTCTCCTCTGTCAGAGGAAGCAAATGAGCCAGAGGACACAAAAACAAGCACTCTGGTCCCTGCGTCACCGAGTCGTACACCTAGGAAAGGTAAACAGGCTAAAGAAACCAAAGTCCCAGCCAGCACACCTCGAAGAAGTACCCGCAAAACACAGCCAGAGCTTCCAAAAGAAGAGGATGAAGAGGTTGAGGTCATGGATAACAATACTTCAGTTGCGTCAACCTCCAAGGCATCGTCTCCATCCAGACGTTCGCAGAGGGTGGCTGCAACAAGGACCAGTCAAAGGACTCAAAGTGGCAGTGAGGTGTCTACAGCCACAGATGATGAAGTCAAACACAAGGAGGAAGTTAACGTAATAAAACCAAGTCGACGAACAAGCTCAAAGATTCTAACCCCATCCAAACACGCAGCATCTCAGGTAAAGACTCCGAGGAGGTCCAGCCGAAGGATTACGAGTAGCACTGAAGTGGTGGCGACGCCGCTTGAGATCGTGAAAGAAGAACACGAACAGGATGAGGTGTTTGCCTCTCCTGTAAGACGGAGCTCCAGAAGGACAAAGACGGAAGCATCAGAGACTTTGTCCACTGTGCTGGAGAAAGTAGAAGACAAAGAAGAGCAGCTTCCTAGCCCTGGCCGGACAACTCGACACTCAAGCCAGATTAGCCTAACTGTATATCCACAGGTAAGAATTCAGAAAGCTATCTATAATCTGTAAAACTGATATGCTGAACCTTGTAGATTATATTTATTTAACACCAGGACTACAAAACTGCACAGATTATGTTTGCAGATAGGCTGCTCAAGTATGATCTTAATATTTGAAGCATATTTCATGAAATGCTTTTATTTTCATTTTTGATTTTCACCTCTAGTTATCATGCATGCCTTTTTATATATATATTTTTTCATATTACATGTTGCAATCCCAATCCATCCATCGTTCATTTTTTTACATTTAACATTTCCAGGTGAAACTGGTTCCTGTGTCGCTTTCTAAGAGTCCAGAAAAGACACAAGGAGAGACGACTGCTGAAAACGCAACAGAGACAGGAGATTTACACGAGCCCGAACCGCCCAGAAGTGCGAGTCGAACCAACTCCCGTCGCCCCACTAGAAGCAAACTTTGGGACCACCCAGAGGAAGATCTTCCCCTTTTGGACTCACCGTTGGAGGTGGACTCTAAGACTCCTGTTGCTGATGCCCTTATCAAGAGACTTAAAGATGAGGAAAAGAAGCAGGAAGGTATGAATTTAACTTAAAATATGGCTGTGTGGGAGAAGAAAAGAACAGTCGGTGTGAAGCTGTATGTACCAACGAGTTCAAATTAGTGAAGATTACAAAGAGACTGAATTTATTCTACTGCATGCTGGTTTAACTTGTATGATGTGCATGTAGAATTCAAAATGTGTTGATCTAAAAGTGTAACCTCTTAAACAGATGATGCCATGGTTAAGAAGGCGCTGAGAACAAGCAAGAGGAGTAAAAAGTCATCAGTGGAGCAGGTTCACTCCCCGGGGAAAGACTGGCTGGTCCCACAACCTGAGGATGATGAATCCAGTCCAGGCGAGAATTCATTCATCTATTCCCCCTCGCGAAGACGAACAAGAGGTGAGCCGAGTATCAGTTTCTTCATATTTATTTATTTTGCTGTAAATGGTTGTAACCCTTTGGTGTGTCTGTGTCAGCCCGAAGAGCAGATTCCTCTGAACAACGTGAGGCGCCCGTCACTCGCAGCAGAGTCAAAGTGCAGGTAGGAACTTCAACTTTGTTCACACTTGATTTCTTTTTCTATCCTAAAGATAACGAATCTTTTTTTTTTCTCTTTGCATTTGTTTATTTTGTTTTTATATATCTCCCCCGTCATGGTTATTCTATCAGTTATGAGCCTTTGAACCAGGATGTTGGACGCAGCGCACACAAGAGTTTAAACCACTGCTCTACAGAAGCTAGATAACTAAGGGTTGTAACAGAAGTACTGATGAATGAAATGAAAGCTCTTTTGAAGATGCCATTTTTCTCTTTTTTCCAGGATGAAATGTCTTCAGAACATAATGTAGAAGTCGAGAGAGACGCAGGCGCTACTAAAAGCAGCAAAACAAACAAGCGAACTGCCAAGTAAGAAACTACATCCTACACCGAAACACGGGCAAAAATACAGCGTCATAAAATGAAAGTAAACTATAGATGGATATATCTAGATATCTGTCATAGATAGAGACAGAGAGATATATAGATATAGAGAGATAGATCTAGATTGGTGCAGGAAATGCCGCATATATATATAAAGTAATGTTCATAAATAGTAAATGGAGGCTGAGGTTTCCTGTTACAGGTCTGTACTGTGGTGGTGTTAATGACCGAGTTAGCAAAACAAGTAAAAATACTTGCATACACAGGTCACCAAGAAGGAAAATTTATTATTATTATTATTATAAATTATTTAATTTATATTCATGCGTATGTCAGTTGTATCTGTGTATTTTTCTATTTTGTTTATTTAACATCTATATCAGAATCAGAATACTTTATTGATCCCTAGGGGAAATAATTTTTTGTTACAGCGCTCCATTATAAACAAACATTAACAAAGACAGACAATACACTAATTAAGAATAGCACAGTATATACAGGCATATATATACATAAAAGTCACATATTAACAAAGAACATGTGCAAGAAGGGTGTAGCTGTTGCAGTAAACAGTGTGTTAAGTGGATGAGTTGTACAGGGAGATGGCCACAGGCAGGAATGATTTCCTGTGTCTTTCAGTGGTGCTTTTCGGTAATCTGAGTCTTGGCATTAATACGGATTATACATCACATTGGCAGGTTTTATTTTAACTGAAATTTCCATCCCCCCAGATCCAAAGCTGTCGCAACGCCGCTTCCCTTTGCAGAAGTCGAACTGATCTCGCCTCTGCCCAGTCCAGTCGATTCGATGCCACGAGCACCGAGGAGGGTTAAAGAGGGAGAGGAACCGACCACCAGCAGGAACCTTCGACGTAAACGTGTCTTGGACACAGTTTTTACAAAACCTGTCACGCGGAGGAAGAAACTATAGGAAGGTTTGCGGCGGTTTTTAACCAGTGAACCTCAGACGGCCGCATGGACATTTCAACCACCTCAGCTGTGAGCTGTCAAATAAAAATGTATGCCCGAACTCGAGACAGTCGCATTTCCTCAAAAGCCTCACAGCGCTGCAGATTCAAGATTGACTTCCCTGTTGGGAGGAAATCAAAAAAGCAATGCAGGCAGAAAAATCTATTTTTGGGACAAGGCACGCTGGTGGTTAGCAGCGTGTGAGAGACTATATTTTTGGAGTTTACATGTACTTCTTTAACTTGATTTCATTCGCTTTTACGTCTGTGGCCATTTTGTGCTCGATGTTCTGCTGCAGCCCTCGGCCTGATTCTCTCCACGCAGAATGACTCAAGGGAAAGCAATCATTGTGGATTTTTAAAGGCTCCCATTAATACAACCAGAGACTGAAACGAACTTGCCTCTGATTTAAAGAGGTTTTATTTACATTCTTTTAAAATTTGTTGTTGTTTTACTTTTAAAAGTTCAAGGCCTGCTGTTTTTTCTATTTAAGAAGAAAAGCAACCAACCCAGTGGAGATACATCTCTACTGCTAAATTTGTATATAGTCTTTTGGTTTTTTTGCTATGTTCCAAATAAAGTTAATAAATAAATAATAAACAGTTATGTTGATTCTGAATTTTTAAGTGTCTCTTGAATGCATTTGGTCATCTAATCATACTGCCTATGCCCTAGTCTTAAATTAAACTTGATTTAAGAGATATTCTGTGAAAGACAGCACTGTTAGCACGTTTGGACTGTAAAATGTTATGGGGGTGTTGTATATTGTCTAAAACACAAAACAAACTTGCACAACAGTTTGCTTATGTAAAACTTGATTTGGGACATGTTAATAGGTTTGATTAAATTCATCGTAATCAACATCTGACACATAGGCTATTTTCTGATGAATGTACGTAGAATGTCTTATTTTTGATGACTGCTCTTTGATAAATATGGCAAAGCTTGAATATTTGTGTTGCGTCTTTCAATTCAGTGCAATTCACCAACATAAAGGTACTATTTGGTATTACCAGAGAGGTGGGTTTTTTGGGATATGTTGCAGCTCAGTGATGGAGTAAGAATTGAATGTCAGCCTCCTTGTGACCAGGAAAAATCGGTGGTTCCTCTTTGAGTCTCTTGATTGGAATGCAACACCCGCAACCACTGGGAACCACTTTTGTTTGCAAGGTGCACTGCAGCCAGCCAGGTTCTCAGACAGTTTGGCAAAAGTTTGCAAATGACTGCTGTCACATTTATAAATGCATGTTGCAATCAGTCAGTCTGCACCAGTCAGAGCAACTTGTCTGCAACGGGTCTCTTTCAAACGGAGGATTTGACTCAATTTGTTGTATACTGGTTTTGTTGTAAGATTGTTGCCAAATACCTTTGTAATTTTGCAGTTAAATTGCTATCCTGGAACAACTACCACACTGTTTATGGAGGAATTTTTCCATTTCTGTTTCGGTCTACGAGGTTCTTTCTGAATGTAAGCCATTAAAGGTGTGAGGCTGTTTACCAGCCGTGCATTTGTAAACTGATCGCAGGCTTACTTTGATTTCTGTTTGGTTGCACTAAAATCACTTTGAACACAGCAAATGACCGAAAGCTGCTGCTAACCTGGCCCCCATTTTCAAATCAACTATTTCAAAGCCGAGAAGTTCATATGTTCGTTGCACGTGGTCGCGCCAGCGTCCAACCACAGTCTTCCTGGGTGTGACTGTAGCATTACTGTGCTTTTAGCTTTTGATGCTGATTTTTAGACCTATCACTACGGTGGCCCTGAGAGGCCAAACGGACTGCAAAAAGAAAAATGCTGTAAAAAGAAAACACCTGTTTTCTGAAGTTGCAGTCCGTTTGGCCTCTCAGGGCCACCGTATTATCCCCATCTTCTTCCGCAACCCCAAATTTTTTACAAGAACATGTTTTAAATGTCTTGCCTGGCTTGTTCCACCATCTTGTGGCAGAAATGGGTATTACACACTACGAAACAGCCCTTCAGTTTCAGTCTGTATCAGTGTAACACACACATATACATTTTGGATAAAGCAACAGAAGGGTTTTTTCACATTCTCCTGATAGCTTCAGCTCATTTTGGATTTAATTTATTTTGAAAGACAATTTGCGGAAAGTGTCTTTGAATGCATGAATGAAATAACCACATACAGAAATCCTGTTTATGTCAGTTTACACTGCTGACAGCCACTGACAGGAGCTGAAAGCAAAAAATAAAAACAAAAATAACACAGGCGACATCCTGTGGTCCCTCAGAGGTTGGAAGTCAGTCGAGCTTTACACCCACAACACCACAACAAAAAAGGGATGATTTTGGCATCTTTACACTGGCACTTGCCACCAGCTGTTGCTGTAAAATTTGATCTCACAGAAGGCTTAGATGTTAGTATAAAAGCATGTGTAAGTGTGTTGTGTACTCCCCAGGGCTTTTGTGTCTCTTTTATAATTTATAGTGTAGATGAGGTGAAAGTGAAACCAGCCTTTTCTCTTCTGGTCCATCTTGCTGAGAGAGGCTAGGAGAGGGTAAAAAGAAAGAAAGAAAGAAAAGCATATTTCTACCCATAACAACTCTCATGATCTTTAGTGAATAGTCGGAGATCATAAAATGTGTAGCAGTACTTTCTACACATCTGTTATGTTTTTAGAGCTGTATGAAGTGTTTTAGTAATCAATAACATTAGACAAGGATCTGTTTAAATGCCATTCTGTTTTCATTTCCATTCTTAAAATTGCTTCCATCTTTTAGCAAACTGATCCATGTTTTCAGTTAAACAGGTTAAAGTGTGCACCGGCGTTCCTGTCACACAGCCCCGACTGCGCTCATGTCACCGTGTAACTCGACACAGCATTGTGTTGTTCTGAGTGAGGGAGCTGATCAGTCGGTCTGCCCGTGTCCTGTGCCGATACTCGCCTGCTGCACCATGAGGGCTAAAGTCTCAGACATGCACAGTAAGGACTGTGTCAAAGTGGCTGTCAGAGTCCGACCGTTCAACAAGGTCAGTGTGCTGATGTTTTCTATGATAACCACTATTTATTTTTCTTTTGTAAGCCATTGCTGTCTGCTTTTTAAATACTCATATTTTGTATTCTTAAGGTGTGACCCACACTGATATACTGCATACTTTATTTACCCTGATAAATCCTGTTGCTTCTTTTAACATTTACAACAGTAAATATAAAATTCAAAATTCAAATTGTGTGTTATTGTGTCTCCTACCTTCCCTTGCACTTACCCTCACATTTTCCTTGAAATCGAAAATAAATGCTTTTATAAACCATTTGCTCTCCCAGCTCTTTTTAGTCTCTCTCCATCATTTCATCTTCTTTCGTTTTCTTCCTTCACTCAGAGAGAGAGGGATGCGGGCAGTCGCTGTATCATATCCATGGTTTCGAGCTCCATCACCATCCAGGATCCACGGGATTCCCAGAACCGACGGTCTTTCTGTTTCGATTATGCCTATTGGTCCCACAGCGGTTTCGCAAGAGACCACAGGGGTATCTATGTGCCTGAAGAGCCAGGAGGGAGATACGCTGACCAGGTCAGGTCATAAATGAGCTGGGAGTGTGTTGTGCAAGATAAAATCTAGATGGTTTGGGCAGAATAAATCTGAATGGATATGAAGTGAGTTATAAGATTAATAAGAATTAATTTACATCTCATGAGATATCATCCATTCCCAGGACAGCGTGTTCCAAGATTTGGGAGAAGGAATATTGGAAAATGCGCTGCAGGTAGCACTCAGTCTTTATCTGATACTCTCTATCTCACATCTCAACTCTTAATAACAAATGTTCTAAAATTACATGCGCAGGGTTATAATGCCACATTGTTAGCCTACGGTCAGACCGGCTCAGGGAAGAGTTACTCGATGATGGGTTATGGGCCTAACAAAGGCCTGATTCCTAAACTCTGCGACCGGTTGTTTCAAGCCATCAAAGAAAACCAGGAGAACAGACAATGTCAGGTGAAGGAAAAACACGATGCAGAATGCTGTGAATGATTCAGTGTGTAAATGATCTAAAATGTGTTTCTTCTTCATGTCCCTGCAGGTCTTTTTCAGTATGTTGGAAATCTATAATGAGCAGGTGGTGTTTGGAGCAAATTCGTTTCTCTGGATATGATACATGCTACGATGCTATTATGTTTCCTGACTCTTCCTTTTCCTCCCCTCTCTGTCCAGGTGGTTGACTTGCTGTCTCGGGCGTCTCGGACTCCGGGCGGGCTCAGAGTCAGAGAGGAGCAGCAACGAGGTTTCTATGTGGAGGGTCTCCGCACAGTCCCCTGCGAGACTGCAGCTCAGGTAGAGAGATGAATGGAAAAAGGATACAAACCAAACCAAACAACTGCAGTAGCCAAAGGCTAAGGTTGCAGTCATGTGCAGTTAATATTAGAATCTTTAGGGAATTAAATGCTTTGTGATCTTCTTCAAAGAGAGCCTCATGAAGCAGTCCAGCATGAATCTGTTGGACTCGTCTGGCAGTGAGCATCAGCATTCATCAGAGTCAGAAACTAACAGTTAAAGAGGATACGGCCATCAGTCTGAGCCCTACCACACTGGGCGATGTCGAAGCATACAAAGGGACATGCTGCTGTTTAATCTAAAAACCAAAAAATATATTTTTGTTCAGAAAAATGTGTTTGCAGGTGGAGCAGTTGATGGAGCAGGGGACGAGGACTCGAACCACTGCCGCCACCCACATGAACGCCAACAGCAGTCGATCGCACATGCTCATTATCCTCCAGCTCAAACAGGTAAAGAGGTTCTGTGCACACTTTTCCAATTTCTTAACATAATTAATACAAGAACAAACATATGTTGTATAAATCTACATTTATGTAAGTGGCTGTAACTTCCTGTCAGATCTTCTCTAAAGAGAGCATCACGAAGCAGTCCAACATAAACCTGGTGGACCTGGCTGGCAGTGAGCGTCAGCGTTCATCGGGGTCAGAAGCTGATAGGCTCAAAGAGGGCACGGCCATCAACCTGAGCCTCACCACCCTGGGCAATGTCATCAGGTGACCTGCTGTTTGACTTGATTTACTTTGCATTTACTTTAGTATTTTTGACACTCTTCCCTCATCTCTCCTCCAGCTCCCTGGCTGATGTTGCGGTGGGGAAGAAGGTCGTGCATATTCCTTACAGAGACTCGGCCCTCACAAAGTTGCTGCAGTCTGCACTGGGAGGCAACAGTCGCACTGTTATGGTATCGGACACTCATTTGATACGAGGTTGAGTCATTGGAAGATGCTTTTAAAGTAAATTGAATATATTTGTTTTTGAGATTGCCACATTGAGCCCTGCTGATATCTGCTATGAGGAGTCTCTCTCCACTCTGCGCTATGCTGAGAGGTACAATAAGCACTGTAAAGTCTTCTGGATATTTCCCTTCTGCTCTATAAGTAACATATTTAATATACGTTTTATACTTTAGTTCTTTTTGGCCTCTCCTTTATGTCGTTCTACACCTAACTTCTTGTCCCATCACCTTTTCCACTTCTTCAGGGCAAAGCGTATCCAGAACCGTGCAGTGGTGAACGAGAGCCCCACCGAGCGTCTCGTTAAAGAACTAAAGGCAGAGAACGCCAGACTGTTGCAGCGTCTGAGCCGTCTGGGCCAGGAGGGACGCAGGGCGAATGACGAGACCAGTAAGAATCAGCGTTTGAATGCAGCAGAATGGGATTCAGAGCTGTTGACAGGTCGTCTCGTATCTTTGTGTGTTCAGAGGAGCTCCGTCAGCTGCTGACCCACAATGAGCTTCAGATCAGAGCCATTCAGACTCTATGGGAGCAGCATGTGCAGGAGGCCCTGAAAGACTGGGAGCAACAGTATGCTAACATCACACAGGTGCATGCATAGATACATACGTAGATGCAGACATGCAAAACACACAAGCAAAGGCTGCAAATGCATTTGATGGAGGTTTTGTATGTAGTGTCTTTAAATGGATGTTTCTTGTTTCCCTCGTCCTCACTGGCAGGAGAGGAGGATGATGCAGATGCATCCCTACATCCTGAACATCAACGAGGATGCTCAGCTGTCAGGGGTGGTGAAGCTTTTCATCCAGGAGGGTTAGTCCATCTGAATCTCTCTGTCTCTGTGCCACGAGATGTATGGTTCTCTCCCTGATAGAAGAAGCTACTAAAGGTGGACAATACCAGATAGTTAAATAGCTTAAACAGCTTAATGTAACAAACATGTCCTGCAGATTTTAACATGTTTGGTGAAATGTTAATCTTTTTATCTTTAGGGGAATGGGACATCGGACTGTGTGACTCCTCCCCACGGTCCATTTGTATCAAGGGTCTAGGGTGAGTTTGCCATCATTGCAAAGAATAAGAAAATTGTCTTTTCTTCAGTATGCATATACACTGATGGGGTCTAAATATTCTTTACATCAGTTTTCTGTCTTACATAAAATTGTTTGTGAGGGGCAGCCAATCAAAAGCTGTTAAAGGCTGGGTATCCATAAAATGAGAGGAGATCCATTAATAACATAAGTAAGGATTATCTTGATGTGTGAATAATGCAAACCGACTGCAGCAGAGTCCAATACTAAAAATATACGGAGCTGGGAAGAAGTCGGATCAGTCCCCTTTTTTGCTTTTATGTGCGTTAGGATCCAGGAACGTCATGCTGTGTTCAGGAATGAACAGCGCAGGGTAACGCTGACCCCGATGACAGGAACAAAGGTTATTGTAAATGGCAATCCTGTTTCCCAGGCAACAGAGCTGCAGCACCTGGTGGGTCTTGACTCAAACCTCAATTATATGATGTGGTTATGTGACATGCTGTTAAAGTATACACTATATATATATATATATATATATATATATATTTTTTTTTTTTTTTTATCAGGATCGCCTCATTCTGGGTTCCAACTGCACCTACCTGTTCATTGGTTATCCATCAGAGAGATGCGGGGATGACTGGAGTCGCTATGATTACGATTACTTCCAGTCTGAACTGGCTGCAGCTGAGGGCATCCACCTGGGTGAGTGTGAATAACTCCACATGAAGGGCTCTTATTTTTTGAAGGAAACTCACTGAACTCATTATATTATTCATCTGCATGTGTTTAGGTGAGTCCAGTGCTGGATCGAGTCAGACAGACCCCAGTCTGCTAGCTGTCTTCTTTGATTACATCAAATTGATGCCCATGGTGGCTGAGGCCAACCAAATGAGCCAGGAATTGAGCAAGGTAACGCACGGCCTCAGGGTGAAAAATTCTGTATTTAATGTGTTTCTAGAAAGCAAATATCTTTGGTTTCCTGTGCGTCATCAGATTCTGGCCATGTGTTGCATTGTGTTTGCAGGGTGTGGAGTTCAAGCTGGAGATTAAAAATCTGGCACTGTCAGATTCAAAAGGCCACGATCTAGAGAAAGACATTGTTGTCAGAGTCACCTCCAAGGGAACCAAGCAGGTTGGTCTGTCCCTGTACGGGGTGTTTTGTCACTTGTGTAAACTGGAGCGTCACTTTGAAAGATTACAATCTTTGCATGCACTCTGCAGGTCTGGATGTGGTCCAAAGCCAAGTTTATTAACCGCAAGTTTCTGATGGAAGAGGTTTACCAGCAGCATTTGGCAGAGCAGAGCGGAGACAATGTATGTTAGCTGAAAGAACAATGTTGATGTTTGTTGGCTTGTATTTACCTTTACATCTCTGCAGATGTTTAAGCTAAATAAAACATGTGCATATTCGCTATATTGACATCACATATTGTTAGGATGGTCAGCACTTCCTAAAGCATAAACCTTTCCAGACCAGTAACTCTATTATTAAGACTTTTATGTTTTTAGGAAGTAGCCGGGCTGTCAACAGTAACATTACCCAGAGATAAAGACCCATTCTGGGATCCAATTGAACCTCTTCTCCTGGGCACTGCCCACCTTTGGCTCCAATCGTTGGCCTTCCGCATCCCTCTGGAAGAGCAGCTAGAGGTACAAACTGATATACTCCATACACACTGGCATCTTCATCTAAAAGTATTTTCAGATGACAGTTAAATAAAGTCAGTGGGTGATGATCCCGGTCTGCAGGTGTTGGGGTCAGAGGGCACAGAGGAAGGCATTCTACAAACACAGCTGGTCCCCTGCTCTTCAACTGGACTGTATGTCACACATGCACAGACACACAAACCTTCAGTGCACAGGTATATCAGTAACTAGACGTTTGCACTTCCCAGCCCTCTGGGTGAGGATGACATCCTGATTGACCCATCAGAGATACTGGGTAGACGACTAGACTTCCAGCTGGTCCTGGATCAGTGTTGTGGCTTACGCTGGATCAGAGAGGCCCGCAATCGAGGTGTTCAGATTGGGTAAGGCACATGTGGCTCGGTGTAGAGTACACTGCATTAAATCCTATTGAACTTGGAGATGGAAACCTGGTTTATATTTACTGGCACATAGAGGAAGCTGTTAATAATTTTAGCTTTTGAAAAGGTACTGTGGAAGTCTCCAGTCTCCAGTCATGTCGTCTTCTAAAAGAAGAGAGTTGTGAAATGCTTTCTTCTCTCCGACATTACTTAATCTCCTTACTCTGTTAGTTTCAGGTTATTTGACTGCAGCCAGCCTCTGTACACTCCAGCTGTTTGGCACAACGTGAATCCTCTGCTGGATCACAGAGTCCACTTTGCCTCCCTCCACACCTCCCAGCGTCTGCTAGACTTCCTGCAGAGCAGCGCTGTGGTGCTGGAGCTCTGGGGCCTTCAAGGTGAGGATGGACATTTTTTTTTATTTATGCCTGAAGTAAGTGAACTCGGTGATAGCTATTATAACAACAAGACATGCTTAATTTTTTTTAATGAACCGCGTGGGATTTAAACATTTAAACTGGATTTTAATTTCATCGTGTGTACATTATACATCACATTATTAAATTTCTCATGCAGATTTAAGAAAAGCCACAGCTGAAATAGAAAGTTTCTTTAAAATTGCTGCTCAGTGCTTGTTTTCTATCCCAGAGGGCTGCACTCAGTTGAAGTCTTCACTGGAAGGTGTGCGGATGACTGCAGATGGCATCTTCATCATTGATGAGTCGAGTCCAACAGAAAACACAGTGAGTTAGACGTTTAGGAGTAATTGTTTACGTTGACATGATTTATTTATTGTCTTATTTATTCAGTGTGTGTGTGTTTTATCACAGCCTGTAGACCCCTCAGACCTCAGTTGTTCAGTAAGAGCTCTTCAGCAGGACTTAGATGAACTAAAGAGTGTTAATGAATCACTGAGGAAAGAGAATCACAGTCTGAGGGAACAACTCAACACAGCCAGGAATGGTAACTAAAACATACACGAGTTTGTGGTTTCTATTCCAAAGAACTGAAAAAACTACCACACATATGACTTTGGAAGCTTTTGACTTGCTCTTTCAGAAACACACACACACACATTTCTCTCTTCTGGTTTTAGGTGGCGAGGGTGCGCGTAGTCGCTCGGTGCGTCCCAGCTGTGATGCAGAGTTTGCCCGCGCTCTGAAGGTTTTCTATCACAGCATGACTTCAGTAAGAGGTCAGCTGCAGCGCCTGCGCAGACACAGGCCCAGCGTACGTATTCACGTGTTATCTTCTGTCTTAGCATGAGTTAGTGTTACTACAATGTGGACATGCTTAAAATCCTTAAAATAGTGAATCAGCACAGAATGAAATATTGACCTGTTTCATCACATTATTAGCTCCAAGAGTGAACAATTTTGAGCTGCTGCGTTTAGAAAATTACATCTGCGCTGTAGTTATTTAGCTTATGCCTCCAATAGATGCATGATAACTGAAGCACTGTGAAGGATCTGCAAGTGTTATTGTTGTGAGAACTGTTTAAGGTCTGGCCAAAAGAATTATTGACTTTAAACATTAGGAATATGGTTCCGAGAACGGGAGCTGATGTTATAGCAATTTACCAACACGTCTGATAAATTGCACTTGAACAGATTGAATCCTGCCCATGGATATAACACTCCTGTTTGCACATCATGCAGGATGTTAATGTGCGTGCTTTCCAGGAGGAGTCAGACCTGCTGGGGCTCAGACTGTTTGTGGATGAGCAGAGTCATTTGCTGAGAGACTTCTCGGAGCAGCTGGAACAGAGCGTCTCTACGCTCAAACAAGATGTAGCCGCCATCGTCCGCCGGAAACGAGAACGATCAGGAATCTGGTCTTGACCAGGGTTTTTATTTTTTTAGGAAAGTATACATTTATGTTGACACTTTAAATTTCGCAACTCTGCAGATATTCCGGTTGAGGGTATGAAATGAGCAGAACCAGGTTCTTACAAACTAAATTCTTTGTTTGGGTAAATAAACATGACGAGGATCTGTTATGATGTTCCTCATTTTCTGTCATATACACTTTTCAAATGGTACATGCTTGTGTTAAAGCTGGAAAAACCATTGAGAGCCAAAACCTCAGAATTCAGTTTTTTCTACTCTTAGCTCTGAAGGATGTCACCGAGAGCAGATATCCCTAATATCTAATATCTGAGGCACAGCAGCTCCACTCACTTGTTTTAACAGTCAAATAAACTGAGGGGCTGCAAGCGCTCAGTGAAATCAAAAGGGGCTGTTTTGAAATATAAATCATGAAAAGCTACTCTAATGAGTTTAATAAGAATGAGAGCATGGGGTTAGAAATGAGGCCTAACAGATTAGAATTAGTTCCCATTACTGAACACTACATGCACAGTGGACCATGTTCAACACAGTTTATACATAAAAGTATTCACCATATTTTCTGTAATACTTCCTTCTTACTTTTTGTCTGTAAAATGAAGTTTATTCCGGTGGATTATTCTTTTAGTACGCTTGGTTAACAACAATGTATATGCAAGTCTACTATTAAGAGTAACTACAAGTGAAGTCTGTTTAAAAAAAGTTTATTAGACTGCATGTATAAGACATCGTTACAGTTCCAAACTGCAAATAAATTAAAAGGCAAAGACAGCTCAAGTTTCAAAATTCACAAAATTCTTACACATTTTTTTTAAGCATCATTAAAAATCCATTGTGTTTTCAAGCTAATGTAGTTCACTTTGAAGCTGTATCACTGGATGACAGAAATCTTCCTCGTGTCTCACTGTGGGGGGATTAATGTTAACGTAAGTGAACAAGAAAAAGACGTCAAACAGCTGAGCGAGATCGTCTCTCCTTATGTTGAGTTTATGACATATTTACGACAGCGTCTCTCACTGCAACGTCTAATTTGGAGGTAAAAAGCACGACGGTTGATGTTTGTAAGCAGTCACGACTTGTAAGAGTACAGACAGTTGCTGTAGGTCCAAAAAAAGATTAGCGTGGGCACATTTACAGGAGGAGGCAGATGTGAGGCAGATTAGTCATCACACAGTACAGAATTTATAAAAAAAAAAAAAAAATCTATGTACAAGAAATATGCAGGCAGACAAGCTGACAGCACGTAGCTGCTCATGAGAAATTTAAAACAAGACAGAGATGAGAGGAGCGAGGCAATGGCGAAAGGCAGAGGATAAGCCTGGCTTCAACTGAAGAGGTAGACTGTGGGATAGACAGACAGTTACAGATATTCTACTGCGAGGAGAGATTAGATTCTTCACAAATAAGCACCACATGTTATTTTTTATCAGAACTGATCATGTTAGGTTTAGGATCAGTATCTTTTTTTCCAAAAACAGCACCCAGTAACATGTTACAGAGAAAGCTGAGGGTCCAGGTGAGGTAGGTTAATCAGGTTTCTAGGATTAGGGACCAAACGGAGCTGCATGAACATGAAACAATATTCATTTCCTTTTGCTCAGAGTAGAAAATAAATGTCAGAGAACATGAAGCACAATGACTGAACATTTCTTTTTCTAATGTTGGACTGTCAGTTGTCTGCACCTCTTTGGGCAAGTTTGAGCCTGAGGAACAGGACTACAGATGATCACAGAGCATGTACAGGAGCAGTTTTGGTGTTTATATAGTACATTGGTGATTATTGCATTTAAAAAAAAAAATCCACTTCCTTCCTAAAGGAAACCCATGTGAAGCACTGCTATCTGTTTCCATTTAAAATTACAGTCCTATCTGTGCAGCCATGGGGTTTGAATGCACAGATTTTGTTCTTACCTAACGTCAATCAGCTTTCTTTTTCAGAGGGTAAAAAACGCGGGGTTGTATGTTAATCGGATTGTAAAGCCACAGGAGGCATATTTTAGATTTTTACCTGCTATTTCGTTTATTCTTATAAAACACTGAGCACGCATTTGTTGTGTAAATTATTATCTCGCTTGTTTAAAAAGTTGCCTTATCGCTTCTTTGCCAGGTTCAAGTCTCAGTGCAGACAGTTCAGAAGACAGTATAAAAGATGGACGTGGCTTCCAGTTGTGAATGCCTTAAACCTGCAATCTGTTTTACGGTCACCAGGGGGCGACAGCTGTGGTGGCCAAAAAAAACTTGGGGCTTTCTGAGCTGACCTCTGGAAACACTTTTCTGCTGGGTTTATTGTTTCAGCCACTCATTTGAGATAACGCTGAATAAAAATAACTTGTGATATAATAATAACAATGATAACTTGTGATTGACAGGATGTTAGCCAATGAGTGTAGTTTCACAGTCAAACCGGCTTTCTTCCATCACATCCAGTTTCAACAGCAAGATGGCTCATCGAAGCTTCAAGGTGGGACTTCACAAACTAGTGGGTGATTACATGGTAGCTATGTCCATCTTTTATATTGTATATGTCAGTACTAAAATACTTTTTTGGCTGACTTGAAATAAATATCTGTGCATGTAAATAAGAGCACAGATCATCCATTACAGCCATGGCCATATTTTATCACTCTCTGAAACAACCCTTTTACATTCATGGTTGGAAAACGTTTCGTCTTTCAGCTCCCTCCTTCAAGCTCAAGGGGAGAATTAAAATTTAAAAACGCATCACTAGTCATGTCTCCATTTCCCACACACACACACACACACACACACACACACACACACACCCACACACACACACACACACACACACACACACACACACACAAAATGAAGCAGCAGAAGACAAACTTCACAGTATAAAAATAACTCAAACCACAGAGAGGTCCATAATTTCACATTAGGCCCATTTTTTTTTCCATTTTCTGAAGCCACGCAAAGACAAACATCACTCATTAAGAGCTGCAATCCAGAGCAGTGGAGTCGGCAGTGTTCGGGTATTTAACATTATATTCATATAGGTCCTGAAAGATGATCACCAATATATGGATGATGCCACTATCAACCAGACTGAGAGACACCTTTCTCAGTGTCTGTTTGTTTCCATTGCTAGCTTTCCCTGAATAATGTCTCGAGTGTCACCAAAAGAGGACGGGGATTTATTCCTGTTGGCTCAGCCTGTTGAATCAAGCAGACCAGGTGTAAACTCAAAATAATTCAGTGAGCAAACTGGTCCACCTTACAGCCAAACTCCATCAAAATTTAGAGGAGTCATGGTTACTGCTCACAAACAACCATAGATTACCAACACAGCACTCAGAGACACATTCCCCATCCTCAAAAAAGAAAACAAACAGACTGCTGTGTATCTGCTTCACGTCTCCATCCTTTCACTGATCCAGTGTCTCAGGCGTTGGTGCCTTCGTTCTCAGCCGCTCGGCCGTCACTCGCCGTCGTTCCATGTGTGATGAGGGTAGGTGGGGCCACAGACACGTCTCGCTGGCTGCTGTGCCTCGAGTGGCTGTCTATCTGATGGAGGCTGCTGTGAGTGGAGAGCGGATGGTCGAGACGTGGATTGCTGCCATGGAAACTGCGGTCCTCTGTACCTCGGTAAACCACGGTATCGCTCCTAATGGGGGAGAAGCAATGAAAGAAAATCTGAGCTTCGACTGATTCACATCATCTGAGAGGAAGCGAGAGCATCGTGGATTTCCTGGTCTACCTGTCATCTCGAGTGCGCCGCAGGCTGCTGTGGTAGCTGGCCTTGCTGTGGACGCTGCTGGCCTTACTCTTGGTGGAGGAGGGGTGCCCGTGGTGAGTTCTAACTGGTTCATCAAGGTCGTCTAGAACAGCTAAGTGGGTGGAGGAGGCGTGTGTGGAAGTGCCCTACAGGAGGAGAGATCAAACACATGTAGCGCTGAAACCGCTGAGATTAAAGATTTAATTTAACACCCGACACCTTTGCACAACGTGTAAATATTCAAATCCAAAAGGCTACATCTTGCTCAAGGCTCTGTGTACATTACTCCAGCATAAGACATTCATATCTTTTGGGTCTTGACTCAAATCTAATGACAAGATTCTGCCTCAGGTTATTACTTTTATTATTATGATAGACACCTAGCCAGGTTCACAGGGGTTGAAAAGCTTCATTGATGATGCGGCTAAATATTATCAATGAAGAAATATGTACATGAAAACACCAGTCTGATTAAACCTTTATCAAAGCTTCTAGATGCTGACAAAAAAAACAGGCATACAAGATACGATCTTTCATTTCAGTCTTCTCTTCCTTTCATCAGTTTCAAAAGAGCTCAGAGCCGTAACCTGTGGACATTCATGTTTGGACTTTACTCCCACGGCACTTATAAATAATTCCATCCTGCTTTTTTTTTTTGCTGTTGTCTTTGCAGTCCTACCTGAGTGGATGTCCCTCTGGACTTCCTAACGATGGGGGTGTTGGGCTCACGCAGCAGAGACTGAGCAAAGTCTGGCTGCTCTTGCAGCACCTGGCGAGACTCATTCACCCCACTGCTGCAGAAAGAAAAAGGTGAAGGAGGTCAGAGGTGGGACGTTTTTACAGAGGGGACAAGTCGCAGATAAAATTGGAACCAAGAGACAGATTGGGGGGGGAAGGAGTAGGAAGACATTTTGGATTCAAGAAGAAATACGGGAAAGAGACAAGAAAACAGTTGATAAGGACAGCATAGGGAAGATTAATGATTAATGTGCTGTTGTATAGCAACGTGTCACCACAAAAGGAAATACAGTAGAGATACTAAACCCCTGAACAACTGAGAGGGAAGGAAAATTGCATGTGAAACAAAGTACAAGATACTTGTAAGTGCATACTTAGTTGTGATAAACTCAATTTAGTCCTCTCGAACATTAAAAGACACACAGTCTCTTCTTACTCTTTGCGCCTGCGTCCATGTAGGAAACTGGCCCACTCAAAACAGGTCTTCTTGCTGCCCACCCAGAAAACAGAGGGGATCCCCACCACGAGCATCATCAGATATTTAATTAGGAACAAAACCATGGCCGGCCTGCTGGTCTCCTCAACCTGAAAATAAAATAAAATGCACATGTTAATGATGCAATCATCTAATCAGCACAGCATGGAGTTTTTAAAAACACAGAGTAAAGTGAAGCAGAGGAGAGAGAGGAAGAGAACAAAGGCTTTGATTATAATGTAGGCCGACTAATTGTGCAGTAGAATATTTCCTCGACAACTAAACATGAAAGATATGCTAAAAGCTTTGGATCCACCAACATTTAACAAACTAAAATCCTCAAACATAATCTAGACAAACCGAGCTGTTTGATGGATCTCCCAGCAGAGGGCAGAGATTTACAGCAGTTCTTGGTCCTCTTTTTATTGAATATAAATCCCAGATTTTTAAGAAATACAACAAACAGAACGCTGTGTCGTTCAATCCCAAATCATGGTTTCATCTGTCCGATAAAATTTCACTGTGGGAAACCATCAAACACACTGAGTACTGTGTTAAAAAGTTTTTGTGGAAAACCATTATATTGTACTTTAGGTGGTCTTTAAGATATCAAATTCTTTAAATTTTCTTTTTAAATTAAGATAAAAATCTTCCTAAAGATGCTATTAAAGCAATTTACCCTCACTACAGTGAGGGTAAATTGCATGAGCAGCTGAGCCTTTTAGTGAGATAAGAGATTTATTGTTTTTGAAATCCGGGCCCAGAAGAATTTCCATTTATTAATTAGCTTAAGTCTCTGTCACCCATGCTGAGATGAAATGTGTCTTATTTAGATTATCAGATAAAACGAGAAGCCCTGGGTCTTCAGTAAATTACCACCCGTGAACACACACAAAGAAAGAAACTCAAATGAACTTTGACACCACAAAAGAATCTTCAATTATCCAAGAACAAGCAACTGCGCCCTCTCCCAGAACACACAGAAAACCCCCGGGCAAAGATCACATAACACACAGCAATATTGAAATTCCAGAGCTGTAATAGGACGTAAAGGGGATCTTCATGATCTTCACAAACACACAGACACACTCACACAATTTGACAAGTGATGGAAACAATGACAAAGCCTTATGAAGTAAAGGTGTGGGTGCACACATCCAACTGACTGACACACAGGTAGGGATGGAGTATGTTTGCGTCTGCACTGTGCACAATTATCTGGTTAATAATTTAGCACTGGACTATATGAATCACTGCATTCCCACCCATCTTCATAAACACGATAAAGCCCTTATGGAGGACTGGCAGCAGACCGTGACTAAGCAGCCCAGGGAGCAGAGGGGCTGAAAGATGCATGAGAAAATTAACTGAAATACAAAGAGAAAAGGAAACGGAGCAAAAACAAAGATGGGAGAGGTTGGTTTTTTTTTTGTGGAATTGGTCTTGAGAGCTATATTAGCTGAGCTAATGATGCATGCCGCACTCTGCTCCCCTCCCTCACAAATACCTACTCACTCAGCCGCACACACAACTAAGTGCCAGCTCTTACCCACTCTCAACCAAGCACTCAACATCTTTGGCCAAATCCCAGCTCCCACCCTTGGCCCTTAGGTATCCCATTTCTTTGGGAAATTGAAGGATAGTGGTCACCTAGCCCCCCAAACAGAGCGTGGAGGACCACCTTGCCCTAAGCTGCAGTGAAAAATGGAAGGGGAGAATTGAGATCGGGCCTTTGATCATGAAATAATCCATCTATCCATCCATCTAACGGCTTAACTTAGGGACGCGGGGGGCTGGAGCCTATCCCAGCAGTCATCGGAGAAGAGGCAGGGTACATTTTGGACAGGTCGCTAACACAGAGAGACAGGTGACCACAGGGTCTCACATCCACACCTACGGCCAGTTTAGGATCACCAGTTAATGTGACGTGTGTCTCTTTGGAATGTGGGAAGAAGCCCATGCAGGGAGAACATGCCAACTGTACAGTGAAAGGCACCAGCCAATCAGGACATGTGCAGAGAAAGTGCTAACCACTTCACCACAATTCTTTCTTTCATTAAGTAAGCATGGGAGTTCTTGTTGTAGTTCCTAAATGTCTTCCCACTACTGTACGGTAATCAATTCTGACGTCACTGGCTACAACAAAGGTAAGAGCTCATCTGAATAAAACCTGGTTAAATTCCAGATACCAATTAAAAATCATCTTCACGTTAAACTAGTAATTGTACATTTTTGTTTTTATTTCTCAGAACCGAGTGGCTAACATAAACTAGCTAAAATGTTGGCTAACCAGAAAAAATTTCTGATTGGACTTTTTTTTTTTTTTTTAAATGAGACTTTGTTTTTCCCTCGTGTTTTCATACATTTCTGGCCTACAGAACATGGCAAGACTTAACTTGTAAAAAAGCTAAAAAACAAAAATAAAAAAACCCGTTGAGCTCCATTCTTGAGTAATTGTGTATTCATGTCAGGTCAGATAATCGGAAAAACCAAGTTTCAGACCGAGAAAACAGACATGATTTTCCTTTTTTTTTTGGCTAAGTGAGTTGCATTTTCTTAAAGTCCGGTAGATAAAAGTAAATAACTTGCTGAAAATAGTTGTAAGAAAAGTTTGATTCATTCCTTTATTGCATATTAGTTATTTTCTAACAGTAACTGCGATGACCCCTGGGTGGTGAATGTGTCTGTGTTTTGTGCTGTGATTTGTTCTACAGGTGCTGATCGAAGTAACTGGCTGTATGAGCTAAACCTGGGCCCAGTGAGCTTGGTTATAAAAGCTCCATCCTCTCAGGTCTCTTTTGCTCACTGCCCTGATTTGAATACTAGCTTCCTGAACTAGATCCACTTAGCTACAGCACGTGTTCTTGGGTTATTTGCCTTCTACAGACTCTGCCACACACTCACTACTGACTAGCTGACAAACATGTTCTTTTTAATTATGTTCCATAAAAAAATGATCCTTTACTAGTTACTACCTGTGAGCCAGGTTGTGAGACAATGCATAGGTGCTCTTCAAATACACCAACTAGTTAAAAAAATGATAATTCTAGATAATCTTTGTCAGACAGGTTAAGTAACTATATATCAAAATCAGCTATGAACACTTTATTGTTTGTTTTGCAGTACTTTGCCTTTTCCCGGTCCATGTTGTCCCCTCAGTCTGACTTAAAAAAAGCACACGAACACACTTAAGCTGGTGGGATGACTTCACAACTTGGGAATCCTGACCATTTGAGGAGTGCATGAATGGAAGCTATATTGATGTTAACTCCTTCCACTGGAGAAGTATCTTGTTCACTCATTATTTATGATATGTTTAGTAGTCTTACACTTTTCTTTCCTGAGACACAGACAAGCTCCCTCCCCAATAAGGAAAGAAAAACACAGATTCCTCAAAACAGAGCACCTGCAGATTTTCACCATTCAACTTTGGCAGTATGACAGCACAGACAAACTGAGTGACAGAGCTCTGATATTTGTTTGCAGCTGAGAAAACAGGCAGCATGTGCTTTCAGACTGTAGACTACCAGATTTGATTAGCTACTCCGACACTTTTTTTTCTTAAGACAGGCTATCCAAGTATAAAGTTGCAGCACAACAGCTGGCAGCTGTAAAAATGATTTACACATGCACCGTCTTAACAAGCACAGATAGTGTCTTCTCTAAAGTTTCACTATATTATTACATCATCTAGTAAGAAATGAAACATAGTTTGTCTAGTGAGGTTAACACCATCACATCGTGCACTTTCTTATTTTCATCCTTTTACCTTGTATGGGCATGGGATGTGATAACGCCTGCAGTTGTTCTCCATCCATGTTTTCTCCCAGATCGTCCGGTATGTGTGCTCGTATATGTAGCAGCCAATCACAGTGAACAAGGGAGCCAGGTATAGCACAGAGAACACTCCCATCCGGATCATGAACTTGACTAGTTTGGTCTGGTTCTCCTTCTCCAGAGGAATTTCCATGCGCACCCTGTTCAGAGCGACAATGCCCACTAAAAGCAGGGAGACACCAACCTGACAGAAGACAGACAAGAAATTAAGGCTCAGTGAACCTTTAAAATACTCTTTTAAAGGTTGGGTGACTGACAGACAGGTCTAAAAGACATTTAATGACCCACCCACCAATCCATCTCTTCCAATGTCCACACTTGTATTATTTCATGCAGTCATTAATCGGTTCACACCACATCCATCCTACTCACCACTTCTTTCATCCACCCACTCACTCATTTATCTCCTGAACTGTACTCACCGCCACATTGACACAGAGCGGTGCCAGAACAAACCACCTCAGGGCGTCGATGTCATACAGCCCTATGAAACACACTCCACTGATCCCATCTCCCTCGATTTTATTCAGGGCCAACAGGGTGACGGTCAGGGCCCCTGGGAGGCCCCAGGCAATCGCATGGAAGAGGAGGGCTTTCTTCTCAATGGCCTCGCTGCCCCATTTAGGCACGGCAGCCAAGAACCAAGTGATTGTCAGTATGACCCACCACACACTGCCGGCCATAGTGAAGAAATACAAAACCATGAAGAACAGGGTGCATGCCTGAGAGAGAAACACAGGAGGAAAAACCTCTGATCAATTAATCGTTTGGGAAAGGTCATCAAAACTGTAGATCTGCAACTATAGAGTAGTAAAATGTAAATTCATGACACGTGTGCGCTCTAAGTCAGTAAATAGATAATTGCACTGTGTAATAAAGATAAAGTAATGAAGTTAATAAGACAGCATTTTTAAAGTGTAGCATAGTTATTTTTATTAATTGCTAAATAAACATCCGTCAACCTCATTATTCAACCACAAAATAAATAATTTAAAATCTAGTTTAGAAGTTTTTAGCCCAGTAAATCATCACTGATGTGCCGACAATTTTAAATCGGGCAGTTTTCTCCCCCAGATTCCATAAAAATGAGCAAAAACCTTGTTGTGTGAGCCCTGTGTTATGGTGGATGCTCTGAACTGGGAAGGGCTGACAGGGTTGCACGCGACCCTGCCTTCCAGCAGGAAACCCAGGAAAAACACCAGCGACACCATGACGTAACACACAGCATAGAAGATGATTGGTCGCTCAGGGTACCGAAACCTATCGAGGAAGATAAAAGAAAATGACTTTGTGTCTTTCTCCACTGCAACGATACTAATACTTTCAAAGAAATTTCACTACATTCAGCTTTTCAAACCTTGTAACATCAATCAGGAATGTCAGGAAGGTGAAGAGTGTTGCAGACAGACAAACAATGGAAACAACTCCAATGAAGTATCGGATGAAGGTGAGCTCCTGCTGGTTGAAGAACATTGAGGGGCATGGGGCAGAACAGTCCTTCCTGCCCATAAAAGTGTAACCCAGGTCTGGGTCGACCTTGAGCTCTCTGGGGCACCAGAAACCATAATCTCTTTGGACGGTCATTGATGATTGGTCAGTGGGTTCAGAGCCTGTTAGCAGGTCCTCTAGACGAGGATAGGGCTCGTCACAATCTGGGAACCTGCCCCCAAAAAAGTAAAAGAAATTATATAAAGACAACAGCCTCCACAATGACCTTAAGGCTACATCAACGCAGCAGTTTCAGGAAAAATATTATAATCTACATCAAGGTAAGAAATCACTACATAGAGTTACATTGCTCTAAACCTGTACCCTGTAGCCTATATGCTGTAGACTTAATGCAGGACTATAAATCAAGCATAAGTTTCAGTCAGATGTACCTCATCTCAGCAAGTCTAAAATGACAATAAAGCTAAATTAATTTTTTTTTTTTTTTTTTAAATATAGCAGATTCATACCTGCTGCACTCCATATCATCTGGCCAGGCTACGCCAAAAATTTCCATGAGTTTGTGGCACTCATCCTTGGCCCGCTGGCAAAGGGATCGGCATGGCATGGAAACGTGGCCGTACACAGTGCAGACTGGAGCGTATAGTGCACACAGGAACATCCTCAGATCAGCACTGCACACCAGGTTTACCATTGGATGAAAAGGCTTTGGAGGAGAAAAAGAACAAAAAATGCATAAATAAAATGTTGACACCAATATTTTTATCTATGCAAAGCTCTATGACATAAAAACACTGACTGTGCAAAGTAAATGATACGTGATATCCTACTCTCAGAGCAATACCTCTAAACACTGACATTTCGTGCTGCTGGTATATTCAACACTAAAGTCAGTGTTAATCAGCATGAAAAGCTTGTTATTAAACATGACGTGTATGTGGATGATCCTAACACACATGCAGTGTCTTATAAATATACATTTACACACAGGCTCAGGACGTTAAATGCTATCGGCAGCACACACGAGAAGGCTCATATTTAGCCAGAAATAGATATCAAAGGGCATGGAGGGAAAGCGAGAAGGATAGCAAATAATCTTTCAGATGCAACTTCCACTACTACTCAGTATTTCATCAGCAGTTAGAGGCTTATGAAATATGTACAGCTGCAATCATATTACCACAGATCTCTTTGAAGTTGGGGACAGCAAAGGCAGACTACTGAAGGCTGGAGCTACAGCCATTTGTCAGTAAAATGAGCAAACAAACAGCAGGGCTTTTCACACATGGGAGATTATATACCCTGTTCCCTGTAGGGACAGACTTAACGGTTTAAGGATGACTTTTGACCTTCATGGTGCTGTTAGAAGATCTCAAAACAAATTACAAGGAAAACTTAACTCATACTTACTTACTTATTACTTGCATATTAAAAAAATCACATTATAACTTGTGCACTTAATACTATTTCACAGATGCACTCATAAGTTTTAATAACATTGTGCTTGACACTTGCTTGACAGCACATAACACTGCATTGTGCATATGCGTAAAGGAAAAAATGTGTTTGTGTGACACAAAACAGTAAATTTCCATTGATTGCTTATCATAACAACTACAGTGCATCCTCATATAGAGAGCATTTGTGAAAATATCCATGCACCAGTAAATGCGAGTGTGTGCTTTATGCTCATTTCTGTGTGAGGTCAGGCCTTACGAGTATGTTTTGATCGTTCTCAATTGCCGTGTTCTAGATCTGCACACTGGAGATGTTCCACCAGTAAATGGATGCAGTGGTGCATGAGACGTGTGACACAGTTTTGCGTATTGCACAAAGACAAATGTGAGTGTGTGCACACGCCACCACTCAACTTCATGAATTTTGCAACCAATGCTTCTTTTTCTTTTCTTTTTTTTAAAATCTATTTAATGAGCAGCATGCATTGTGCCCAATGGTATGAAAACTGATCTAGAAAAATGATCCTTTTATTTGGCTGTAATAATATTTAAGAAATTCTCACATAATCTTGCCTCTTCAGTGTTTTCTAAGATGCTTCAGGAGCCATACAGGAGCACACACTTCTGTTTGAATAATGTGCAAACCTCAAGACATGATGGGGAAGTCCAGAGTGAAGGCTCGGCTAAATATCTAACCAATCAAATATGTCCAGCCAGTGGAAATATAGGAACTGGATTTTAGTTGTGCTGTTTATTTCCTCTGCTAAGGACATTGTATGATGTTACCAGGATTAATCAATAAATTATAGACAGATTTGTATACAAATTGCATCTACCAAACTACACATCAGACTGAAGGCAGAACTATTAGGAGATGTTCTTATTCTAACATGAAAAAAAAGTATTTATCACACTTTTAAGTTCGCCACACTGGAATAATAGAACCTGGCAGACAATTTAAGATACAGTAATTCTTTGTGTAAAAAGAAAAATCTCCAAGAAAGCCAAAAACATGATCACATGATCAGCAGGCATCTCTTGAAACTGTTGGAGTCAAAGTGCATGAACATTCAGCCAGAGGGAGATTGCACCAATTTCACCTGCCTGGGAGGGGTACCATGCCTCAGCTGTGTGATATTAGACAGCGCATGAGTATCACTTCAGCAGTTTTGTGTTTACAGCAATCAAACGGATTAATATACAATTTACAAAAATAATTATGACACACACTTGCATCCTCTACATTGAGATGTCGTAAAAACACACACACACACACACACACACACACACACACACACACACACACACACACACACACTTGTATTTGCAACTTGCAAGTGGTAACTTTGCCTGCAAAAATTTCTAGGCCTTAAAAGGAGGATATGAAGTTTAATGACTGTGTGAGAGCGTTCAATTTCTTTTTTGTACTGCGTTTAAAAACAAACAAACACCCCCCCACCCCCCAAAAAAAACCACAGTACATATGTTCAGGTGGTGCCAGCTGAAACTGGAGAGTTTCAAGTGCCTGACATGAGTCATGTTCACTGCAAGGATTTTACTCAGAAATAAGATGTTATTTGAGATAGTGATATAATGGATTGACACTCTTCTAAAATTCTTTAACGCCATCTAATGCTATCTCCGATGTTAACTGATAATAATGACAGTGTTAACAGGTATCCTTATTAATGTAGCAAAACATCTATTCATGCTTAATATAGAAGACAGACAAACAAGACAAGCTGTAACTGTCAGCAGCTTAAAACCTCTCCCTCACTTCTGCAGTTGGAGATCTAGCGACTGCAAAAAACAGTACAGGATTTGATTCGGCTCATATGGTACTGTGGCTCACTGCCACAAATATCACTGCTAATTTGAATGTTTATGATAAGTGTTCTGTGATGTGACTCCAAGTACGTTGTAAATTCCTCAAATGAATTTTTAAATTTACTTGAATGTATCACTTCACCATTTGCGTTCTCCGTTTCTGTACTGGTGCACTCTTTCAGTAAAGTGCAGTATAATTCTTTCCAAGCCATTAAAAAGAAAAAACCCAAATAAAATCTGAAAGTGTTCTGGTCCTCAGTTTCAACTCCCACCTCACTCAGCGAGCCTAAGGCCACACTTAGACGACGAGTATCTGCTTTCTGCATGAGTGTGTGTCTGACTGCATGGGCGACTGGAGGCTTTCTTCTCCTCATACTAATTCTACAGCAAATGTGTGTGCAACTCCTTTTCTACATGTCCCCATTCTGCCCATTTTGCCAGTGTGTGTAGGTTTACATGTGCACTTGTGTGTATGCGTCAGTGTTCTTGTATTTAGCCTATGTCCCACTTATTGCGTTTCCAGTGTGTGTGCTTATGCTAGGCTTGCGTGCCTGAAAAAGTCAGCGTGTGTGTGTGCACAACTATTTTGGCAGTCAGGGCAATTGCCCCCACATCTCCTACCACAAAGAGAATATTGATATTAAGTGGTCTAACTGTGCCACCCAGCAAGAGAGAAGGGGGATGGCAATCAGCCTTCCATGGTGGGCAACTTGAGTGAATTGCTTGGCATTTTGTGTGTCAGTTGTGATGGAGGAACAGGGAAAGGAAAGTAGAATAGCCCACAAATCTGCCTTGGGGGAGAGGACAGCCTATTAAGACATGGAAAGATGTGGAAGAATGAGTAGGGTGGGGAAAAGAGGATACAACCATTGCAGTGAATCTGCTTCCTGCATTGTTTTATTTATTTTAGTCTATAGTGGACAGATGATGAAGCAAGAATAAAGTCACACTATTAAGAAAACAGGTACCTACCTTTAAAAAAAAACACGAAAAACAAAGTAAATGTACAATCCACCTCCATTGAAATCTGCAGTATACCAGCACATAGTCTTATCCATTAAATATCCCAGTTAGCTAAGTTATTGAGATATCACAAATAAACTAACAGTTGCAGTCCAATACTTTAGAAAAGCAGATTATTTAAACTACTGCCATGTTTCTGCCCAAGTAAATTTGCTGGGAAATATGCAATTTAATGCATACAAACATACCATCCACGAGTGAGCAAGCACACTGTGCAACAGACTGCTGTCTGCAGCTGCTGGAAAAATGCTGACGTCATTTAAAAATCTAAAGAGTTTGTGGTGTCCTTTTTTAATCTATTTTTTCTATATATTTTTTTTATATCTTTCCTTTCATTTTGTTTTTATATCCTTAAATGGCAGCTATATGTCAATCCTTAGTAGCACACCTACTGGAAAACAAATTTGTGAAAACTCTGGCATTACCACCATTTCCGAATGGATTCTAAAATGCAGTCCGACCTTAGATAACTGAGCCACAATTACAGAAAACATAATGTGACAAACTCATTTAACAGCCACTCACACAGGGACAAAGACACACACAGTACAAGATACAAAAACAAAATGTTCCCTGTAGCTGCTTCACAGACAACAAGCAAGAGGAATTTTGAATCATTCCTCCCCCACAAAACTGTTTTAGTTCATCATGTCTCAATTAAGCTGCACTATTTAGGTCATCCAGCAGCATCGTAATTGGTTTTAGGTCATTGCTTTAGCCTGGGTACTCCAAAATATTAATTATCTTTGTCAATCATTGTGTCGATTTAGTTGTGTACTTTGAATAATTGTTTTTTTTGCATCACACAATCTCTCCTAAGCTTCATACACTGTCATACACATCATACACTGGTGCCCTGACTCTCCCCTGTAAAACGTCTGGATACAATTTTAAATTGCTGTTCCTTTAGACTCTGACCTTGACACTCCTTTCATAATGCTTCACTGTCAGCAGGAGGTGTTGTTCATAATGTGCATTGGATTTTTTCCTCCAAGCACAGCACTGCACATTTCAGTTCTACTTCTTTGGCTTGCTTTGTGGGATAGCAGTCATTTCCTTTATGCTGTCTTTCCATTAAAATCAATCCTATTATTCAGTGTCTTTTCTTATAGACAACAGGAACAAAGGTTTCTGTAGATGTCAATGCAGGTGTTTTTTAGGGTAACCTCATTTGGAAGCAACGCTCCTGCAGTTTGCTATTTGCAGTTTGTCCTTTGCTAGGGTTTATTAACATCCAGGTATTTAAAAATATTTCCTGATATTTTTTTTTTTTTTTAAATTGTTATGTAACCTCACAATGCTGCTTCTTTAAACGTTGTGATCAAGACACCCTTTTTATGAAAAGAGCAGATACATTTAAGTATTGACTTTCTTTCCAGCCCTCAATGTGAGGGAAAAA